GTGCTGCCCCATGTGATGTGGTCTTCGCCCACCCAGGCGAGGCCGAAAAGGATGAAACGTGGCAGGAACTACCGGATCGCAACGTGCAGTGGGCCGCAAACTTAGTTCGCGCCAGCGCCGCATGGGAAGCCGAATGCAACTCATCCCTGTAAGCCTTGAAGGGGTCACGAACTCCTCCATACTCCTCCTAGGCCCGCCTGACGGCCTCGCGCGTGTGTTGAGCATGGCACGCGCACTTTGGCGGCCTGCGCGAAGGCAGTCGCGGTCGCTCCACCCCACGCTCCGCTTGGAGCTACGCACCGTTTTGTTTTTAGTGCCTTTGCTGCAGCTGTCGGCCGCGTGGTGCCGCAAACACTACAACGGTCCCACCGACAATGGACCTGCGCAGGCCAGCGAAGGCATGGCGGGCCTTGCAGGGCGTCGTGTCGGGTGAAACGGCCCCTGGTCCAGGGGGGCCCAGCAACGCCAGAGTTCGCCATGCCCAGCGACTCGCCTCTGGGGCCGCCCCGCGTGCGTCCGCTGCACTGCGATCGCGTGGCAACATCAAGGGGCATCGAGCGCGCACGCTGTCCAGTCACTACGTGCCGCTCCTGCCGCAGACCAGCTTGTGGATAAAGCTGCTGCCGTGAGCTCACAGGAGGCCCTGAGGCACCGCGGCTATCGTGCATGGGGTCGTGGCGGCTCTACATGGATGCAGCGATCGCGGCCGCCACCTGCTCGGGCAGCTTCCGTGCAGGGACGGGGATGGCGGGGGCCTGGGGGGCTTTGTGGGCGAGGACGGCAGCGAAACCTCGCCGCTGCCACGTGATATCACGTGATGCCGCATCTGCAGCGGTGGTCGCCAACACGCAGCTCGACATTGACAGCGACCAGTAAACCGCCCTGCTGCTTATGCCGAGCCAGGACGCCGGCCGAAGGGTCGCCATGGGTCGCCTAAGCGAGTGTGCACGTTCCGCCTCGGCAACTTCGCTGCGTGCTGGGGAACGCAACGCGCGTCGCCCGCGGGCGATGGCGCGGGCGGGTGATGAGGTGTGCAGTGCGATATCTCCCAATTAACCGAAGCTGACATGGAGCATCATGGGGCCTGCTTTGCCGCAGCCCCGTCCGCGAAGCAACGAACTCAACGCCACCGTGCTGACGGCGAGGGCTTTTAATCTGGGCGGCCGATCCCTATAGAAGAATGTCCGACACTAACGTCGTCAGAGCCGTATGAGACGTCGTGGAAACGCCTACGGCGTGCAAAACTAGAGATCTCGCACGATCAAGAGCTCGTCCCCTCGCTACAATCACGCGCTGTTTATGCAAACCGTCCGCTGGTTTGCATGCTTCGCACCTGGCGTGGATTGAGACAGAGGCCCCAACTCAGCTTAACCCCTCGACATCATCGCTACCGTGTGGGCCCGATACCATGTTCAATCCGACAGTGGTGTTGCGCAAAGTTCCGAGCACACGATCGTTGAACAAGTGAAGGCCACGGTGGTCTGAAGAGCGCATGAATCCACGTCAGTTATGTGTTCGAACTTGGCCTCGGTTCCCGCGTCTTGCTCTGACAACCACGAGCGGCCGAACACGGGCAAGTGTTGCCTGTGCACATCCCTGGTTTAGTCCACTTCGCACGGACCAAGGTGCGTGTTGCGTCGCGTAGCAAGCAAATCAAGGACGGACAAGATCTTCGGCTCCCACTGGCCACTGCGGGCTCAGGAAACGGCGTTTGTTTGCCCTGGGAAGTTGGCTCGGTCATCTCATGTGCAAAAGGTGTGGTCTGGTCATCATCATTATTGCAGGGCCCGGTGCTTCGGGCAAGGGTATTGCAGGGCCGCATTGCAGGGCTTGAGTTCGGCCCACCCCCTGACTCAAGTGCACGTGATTCATATGACTGTGACAGTATTGGTGCGTCTGGCACGATCGGGGTGTCAAGGCATACTTGCACGGGACGCTGAACCACGAACCGGGCTGTCGCGATTGTGCATCACGCGACGGTGCAGGCACTGGGGAGACTTGATGTCGGAATGGACATTGCAACAACATTGCAGTACTATTGCAGTTATGTGCGCGAACCTTGCTGCGATTACCGGAGGGTGCCCACGTATTGTCTGCTGCTGGGGCGCATTCGCGGGCACACTGATGGCACACTGATGGCACCAGCATCTGTCAGCACGATCCCGCAAACGCGAACCTCCCCTGTCAAAAACAGATCGGTTTGTGCAGGGCAAGCGCCACCCCACAGTGCACGTGTGCGCAGAAAAGGATGCCACGATGCTGCATCATGTTGATCATTTTCGGATCGGGGCTTCCGACCCAGGCCTCGACTAGAAAATGGCCAGCGGAGATCGCATTGGCTCTCCCGCCCGCGGCGTTGGGTGCGCGGTGTTTGCACGCCTCGACGTGGCGAAGCGCGCCTGGGCGAGGTCCTCCGCGTCGCAGCAGCGGTTATAAGCAGTGTCACGTCGACGGCGCATGTAGTGCCACGCCACAACGGAATGCCGTCAGCCGCCATTTCGATGCGATGGCGGTCCATGGCGGGGACATTGTAGAGGTCGCGGGCTGGTGGCGCGGCCGCACGTCCCCGCGTTGGCTGCGCGTCGCGGGGCCCGACTTGCGCGCAAGCGGTGCCGTGGTCCCCGAGTGTATTCAGTTCCCAAGGCGACGCTTGGCATGCTTGGCGATGAAGGGAGCGGCAAGCGCAGGTTGGAGCAGCATGATGCGGTAATTGCGTTTGGCACAAAGAGGTCCGCGCTGGTGGGGGAGTGCTGTCAGGGCATGTCAAGGCACAGCTGGCACTATCCCCAGCCCCTCTGACAGCATTGCGTCAGCGAGCCACTCAATTGCGGACACACATCCAAGCCCCGAGACGAAGACACATGAAACTTTGAGCTCATTTCGCAAACACGGGCACATCAGTGGCAGGCGGCAATGTAGCTGATGTGACTCTGTGCAACGCTGGCTACAACGGGCAGGGACGTTATCAGCACGAGCTGATTGATGATTCGCTGTTACTAGGAATTCGTCGTTGGAGATCAATGACTGCAATGATGTAACCTGTCACGATGCATTTTCGGCGCGGGCCATCCCTGCCACCTGCCGGGCCGCGGCCATCTCTGCCTTCACGCTGCGCTGGTCCCCCCAACAATGGCTAGCGCACACCACGGTGCTCCATGTCCGCGCAAACGACCGCCGCCGCCTCGACCTCGTCATCTATGGAGCGACGCCGCTTGGCGGAGCCCTCTGCTGCGACGCGACCTTGGTCTCGTGCACGGGTTTACCCAAGCCTTGCGCCGCTGCACACGACGGGACTGGATTGGGGGTCGCAAAGCGCCAAGTTGCCCGCTGGCGGCCCGCAGCAGCTCGTCCTGCTGGGGACAGAGGTCGGAGGACGGTGGAATGCGGGCGCGAAACTGCTGCTCCCTGACCTCGTGCGGATTCGACATGGGAGCGCAGGTGGTGCCCCAGCCGCTACCTGTGCTAACCCCGAGCACAGCCAGGGCATACCCAACCAAGTCATGACAAATCGCCACGCTGCAATGCCCGCCGCAATCCGCCTCAGGCCCAATCGTTTGAGGCGCCCACTCCGTGTCGTGGTGCGGCCTAGCAACGAAGCAACCGTTTTCTATTTTTCTCCCTCGCACCTTTGTCTGCTGGTCAAGGCAGTCCCACCCAGTACAGCGCAACGGCGAAACTCGCAAGCCTTCACGGGAGGCGGCTGGCAATGGGGGGAGGGATGGCGGAGTCGACGAGGACCTCGCTGAGGAGCGGGGATAACGTTGGCAGTGCCACCGAGCGGGAGCGACAGTAGACTGGCGGCGAAAGTCCGCGGGAGATGAGGGACACCACCTGCCCGTCCGCTCCACCCGTTTCTCGGGCCATTCGCACCCATGCCCGTTCCAGGATCTTCGCCCTGCAGGCCAGCAAGCCTGTGCGGGGCATGCTAAAGCATTGTCGCCCAGCGCATCTACCTCCCCCACGCGGGGGACGCAAGCGGCGGCGCAGCTCAAGCAGCATCGCTTGAGGTGGAAGGGCGCATGCTGGCTCGCAGGGTATGGCAGGGTCCGGCTTCGGGGCCAGCCTGTGACCGGAGTAGGGCAAGCTGGGATGGCGACAAGGAGGGTAGCAATGTGCTCTCGCGAAAGTGGAGGTTGCATATACGCGATGCACAGTGCTGCCATGCGTGTGGCCCCTGGCCGAAGCACTCGTCACTCGTTCGACGAACGCGGCGGACGAGCGCCAGCAATCGCCCATAACGATGACACGGATGTGGTTCTTGCAACGCGGTCAGGCGCGCTGTGACACCGACCGTTTCGGCCAGTTCAAAGCATGTGCCAGGAATTCGACGCCTTCGTCGTTTTGCAGCAAAACTTCAAGATGTTCCGCCGGCCACAATGCTGGTCAAGCGCCAGGTGCACGCCTAAATTGCATTCGAGCAAGGTTCTCTGCGCGGGGTCGCTGGCGGACTGCCCATACGACGTGGACACGCGATGGGCAGGCCTGGATGCGCGAGACGAAATCCGGAAGGTGGCGCGGCCCCCACGGCGCGGACTAGAGACTAGAGCTGCGAGCAGCGTTTGCGGCCAACGGGCTCGGACGCCATGATCAGGTGCCGGGCTCCCTCCCACCAACTGGCAGCACGCAGATCTGCTCGCCAGTCCACATACAGCCAGGAGTTGGGCGGCGTAGGCCGCGACCGGAGTTCTGCAGGCGGAAAAGGGGCGAGGAAAACAAAAGGACGTGGAGGAAAAAACAATTTTTTGGCAGCAGCGCGTGTTTCGGTAAGATCACTAAAATTGGTGTACTGTCACAAAGCACAACGAATCGGCAGATGAAACAGCTGCGCAGCCGTAGGCCGACGATGACCGACTTGCATGTGGTCGCAGTTCACATCATGCATGGTCTTCAGGCATTTGATACAGACACGAACAACATCAACGCCCACTGGCATTGCATGTGAGACGACAATGATAACGTCGTTACAACGAATCAAGCGCACTCTGGACCTCACAGTGGTGATGTTGCGCCATGTTGTCGGCTTAGCTCAGCCGGCCCTGCTCCAAGGGGTTTTGGCCGGTTGCAAGACAGAGAGTTTTTTTTTGCCGGCGGGAATTTGTGCAAGTCAGGTTTGGCGCGGTTCTCGCACCTGGCGTGGGTTTGCAACTACTGCATTTACCGTGCCGGGCGCATGAAAACAAGATGTTGTCGCACGAAGGCCTTGCATTTTCTTGTTGATGTGCCAGGTACCAGCGCAGAACAACACGCCAGAGCAAACGTTGTTTGTGGCCGGCCTCAATGAAGGCAAGTTCTTTGGCCAGGCGCAGCAAGCTGGGGCTTGCATGCCCCAAGCATCTAATGACCAGAAAAAACAAATCCTTGCTCGGAACCTGTGCTAAGGTAACCAAAATGTCGAGACGATGTTCTTTACGAAAGAAGCCAATTACAGTAGTTTCATGTAAGGTCGCTGTAGAGAGACCAGGTCAGGCACGAAGTGCTATGTAGGGCGATGCTGCAGGACAGCGCCGAGGAAACGTTGAAAATGGTGGAGCGCGTTGCGCAACACAACCCGGAGTGGCGGCCTTGGCGTGGCCGGTTGAGTCCAGTGAGTTGCCGGGCAGAAGTTTCGGTAACAAGGGCAAAGAATGCTTTGAAGGTACACCTTGCTGTTCGGGATTCCGGAGAGGAGGTTTGAGAACTTGGAGCTAGAGCACCGGACGAAGGATGGCAGGCTGGCATTGTTGATGTGGCGCGTGCACTTGTGCGTGTGTGTGTGTGTGTGTGTGTGTGTGTGTGTGTGTGTGTGTGTGTGTGTGTGTGTGTGTGTGTGTGTGTGTGTGTGTGTGTGTGTGTGTGTGTGTGTGTGTGTGTGTGTGTGTGTGTGTGTGTGTGTGTGTGTGTGTGTGGTGGTGTGTGTGTGTGTGTGTGTGCGCAGCACGGTAACGAAGAGGGGCCTATCCAACCACCGCTCAATCATGTGTGTGTGTGTGTGTGTGTGTGTGGTGTGTGTGTGTGCGTGGTTGTGTGTTGTGTGTGGGTGTGTGGGTGTGTCGTGTTGTGTGTGGTGTGTGTGTGTGTGTGTGTGTGTTGATGTGGTGTGTGTGGGTTGTGTGTGCTGTGTGTGTGGGTGGTGTGTGGGTGTGTGTGGTGTGTGTGGTGTGTGTTGTGTGTGGGGTGTTGGTGTGTGTGTGTTTTGCGTGGCGTTGTGTTGCGTGTGTTGTGTGGTGTGCGTTGTGTGTAGGGTGTGTGTCGGTTTGTTGGGTGGTGCGTTTCGTTGTGGTGTACGTGTACTGTTGTGTGGTGCGTGGGTGGGTGGTGTGTGTGTGTGTGTGTGGTGTGTGGTGTTGTGTGTGTGTGTGTAACCCTCACAAGCTCTAAAGTACGAGGCGTGCTTCGTCAATGCATCGGCACAGGCTTACACCAAGCCGCCAGCTTGAAGACAAGCTTCACTGCGAGATGATCCCAGTGATGCAGGCCGCAACGGATCCACACATGTGCCTTCATGTTAAAATGTACGGTTGGGGTTCGCCTTTAATAAGGAGGTGTGTCTCTCTAACTCTCCCTCTCTCTCTCTCTCTCTCTTTATCTTTTGTGTTTTCCTTTCTCTCGCTCCCTCTCTTTCTTTATTTCTTTCCTTCTCTTTTTCTCCATCTCTCCATCTCTTTTTTTCTCATTTTTAATTTTATCTCTCTCAGTCACAATTTTTTTTTTATATCTCTCTTTCTCTCTCTCTCTCTCTGTTTCTCGCTCTCCCCCTAAATCCTCCCTTTCCGGTGAGCGTGATAATCTTGGAACATGATTTCGGATAGTTCCGACTTTCGAACATCCAGACTGTACTTGGGGGGTGCAGCGTCAAAATGCCGCTTGAGGATGCCCCATGGCCCCAGCAACCCAAAAGAAAAGTTGGGCTGTGCCCCCCCGGCCCTCTTCTAACAGTATGGGCCCTTAAAGGGTTTAAACTGGTTTGGGTTTAGGGTTTAGGGCTGTGCCCCCCCTATACTAAACAGTCCTTAACTGGGATTTTAGTACCCCTATTTCAATCCCTGCTAAGAACTGCTGAATATAAGGGAGATCCCAAGTTCTTGCGGGAGAACATCCCAAGTTCTTGCGGGTAAAAGAGGGGGTGTGCTTCGTAGCGGAGAGCATCGTGGCGCACGGGGTTGTCGGAGAAAATGCGGTTTGCACTGCCGGCCCAACGGCTCGGATTCCAGAGTGTGCGTTTTCGGATTCCTCGGTAGGGCCTTGGGATTTTGTATTTTTTTGTGCAGTTATTTATTTGTTTATATATATATATATACATATGGTCCGGGCTGCCACGCCCCCCCCCCCCCCCCCCACCCCCTTGGACCCACCCTCCGACCCCCTCGGTGTGGTTGGGGGGTTAGGGTTTAAGGGTTTAAGGTTTACGGATTAGGCCTACCCCCTGTGTGGTTTGGGGGTGGGTTTAGGGTTCGGGGTTTAGGGTCTGAGGTTTAGGCCCGTGGTGTGATTGGGGGGTTGGGGTTAGGATTTGGGGTTGAAGGTTTAAGAGACCGGCCACCCGTGCTACCCCTGCGCCCCCCCTGTGGTGTGGGTGTGGTTGGGGGGTTAGGGTTTTCGGGTTTAGGGTTTAAGGTTTAAGGTTTACAGTTTAAGGTTGAGGGTTGACATAAGTTCAGGGTTTCAGGTTTGGCCCCCCCCCCCTCCGCTGTGAATGGGGGGTTGGCATTTGGGGTTGAAGGTTTACGGTTTGGGTTAAGGGTGTGAGGTTTAAGTTTGTAAAAAGGTTTAGGGAGAGGCTTGGGGTTTGGGGTGGGGGGGCCGGGGGGCCGGGGGGCCGCGGATGGGGATTGCATTGGGGGGGGGGGGGGGGGGGGGGGGGGGATGGGGGGGGGGGGAGGGGGGGGGGATGGGGAGGGGGGAGGAAAGCCCGAGACCACATATATATATATATATATATCCCTTCGTGTGGGTTTAGGAGGATCATTTTCACGTGTGTTTTTTTCAGAGGGTTTCGAGGGCCATCCTAGATTCTGGGATGTTTTTTATCCAGGATTGGATGGGCTCTCCTCTGCACCACTGAAACAAAGTTACCGCTTTACTGTACTCTGTACTGCTTAGACATGGACCCTGAATTGGAACACGGGGTCCAACTCACCCCCCCCACCCACCCCCCCCCCCTCCTGCGAAGAGGGCGTGCTATGCAGTGTAGTAGTAGACAAAGTTGACGCATCCCACCCTAAACCCTAAACCCTAAACCCTCAACCCTCAACCCTAAGCCCTCCACGCGTGCATCGATGTCAGGCAGGAATGGTGGACAAACGCCCGCGAAGAGCACTGGGCCGACCGGTCTACATAGATCAGGCAGGGCACAGACGGTCTTCAGTGCTGTTTTTGAGCCTGGTGTTGGTTACTGGTTTGAGGATTTGATGATGATGATGATGATGATGATGATTATTATGCTTGATTTTTCTTGCATGAGAAAGTGTGTGTGTGTGTGTGTGTGTGCATTTGATGCGACGCAATTGATAAAGCGTGTGCGTGTGCGAGGGACAGAGGCCAAGATTTGCTGTGCACGTTCATACTACCCGTCTGCAGTTGTTATGCGGGGGATTTAGCCGCAAGAATTGGAAGGAGTTTTCTGCACAGGGTATGCGGCAGGTTGTTTGTTCAATCGTTTTGGCTTGTGAAGGTGCACGCGGCATGGATGCTGTGGTCACACCCGCGGGAAGCCATCAAAGTGTACTGGGCGTTTTGGCGCCGAAAGAATTACAAGGACGTGCTCAGACAGCATGCTGGTATGGCACGTTAGTTTTTGCTGATGGCTTTCTGTATTGATTAGGTATTTATCGTTGGGTTTTGTGCCTGCGCGAATTGGACGCTAAACCCTAAACCCTAAACCCTAAACCCTCAACCCTAAACCTCAACCCTAAACCCTCAACCCTAAGCCCTAAACCCTAAACCCCGAATCCCCAGAAGCTGAGCCTTCACGCATCGCTGATGTCCCGAAAAGGACGCGGAAGCGCGAAAGTTTTGGACGACCCATTTTCCGGCCGCGCGCTGAGAAATGCGGTTTTGCTTCGCTGTTTTGAGAGACGATTTCAAAGGCCACCGCCCCGATGATTTTCGAGGAGGGGCCATATGCTTGTCGTGACCTGATGCTGCACGTAGTATGTAAAAAATTGCGTGTTTTGGAATGCTCCTGGCTCCTCCCTGGTCGATGATGCCAACAGAGCTGAGCTGGGGAGCTGAACTAGGGGTAACCCCCCCAGATCAGTCCTGCATGCCGTGCCTTGCAGGAACGTGCGCACATCATCGCAATCCGAGCCACCGAACACATCATGAACTTGCGCAAGCAGGCGGCATGCATGTCGGTGTTCGGCATTGGTGCTGTTCGTCTTGTGTTTGTCATGTCCTTAGATGGGCTTTGGCCAAGACACCTTGAAGCCGCTTTGCCCGCAGGGCTCAAAGCCTGAAACCGATACTGAACAGAATATGCACTTTTTAGGGCATGGCGCTGCTTCGCAATGCGGCCGTTGCCATCACTGTTTGCTGTGCATCGCTGGCGTTTGATGATGTACCGCTTTGCGAGGACGACGTTGGCGTGCCACGCTTCCAATTGTTGCAGCGCAGCCTTTCGGTGATGCGGGGTGTGCGTCTAGATGGACGTGCCCCCGGGCGCTTGGCAGAATGGGTTGGCAAGAACGGAAATGCTATCAGGCGGGCGGGCTGTGAGTAGGCTTCCCCCCTAGTGTCCCCTTCTGTAGTGACTGAACTCACCTTGCACCTTTGTCATGGTCATTGCAGAAGAAGCTGTCAATCAAAGCCCATTGCTTCTCGACCTCGTGAGGTCGGGCTCCACCATGGCAGTTCCCCCGTCCGTTCTGGCGACTCCTTCCTGGACGTGGACAGCGCCCAACAACCAGCTGGTGCGTTCCAGCCCCATTGTCGACGCCGAAGGCGCCATCTATGTTTCAACCAGCGCCGGTGAGCTCTTCAAGTTCTCCCGCGAGGGCCGTCAGCTTTGGAAGCGTAGCTTCAATCATCATGTTTTTGCAAATCCCATGTACTTCGAGAACATCTACACCCTGCGAGACGACTGCACCTTCTTTGCACTCGATGCGGCTACAGGCAAGACACTGTGGCAAAAGAGGGCCGGACATGGTTCGGGACCTGACACTTTGACGGTGATCGCTGCTTGTGGATTACTCGGGAACTGTTTTCAATTTTTTGGGTACTATGATTTTTCTAACAAACAGCAAAAAAAGGATGATTTTTTGCTAGGGTTGAAAGTTCAGTATAGGCTGCCATGGATGTAGTGATTTCTTCGTGCTTCGGCGAGGGTGAGGGCACCACCCTCGGCGGATCGACCACCGTGGTGGCTTTGAACGCCACCGATGGTACCATTATGTGGTCTTTCCGGGCAGACCATCCGCTCTACAACTGGATCGGTTCCATTCAAGAGCAGTCAGTGCTCTTCTCGGACCAGTTTGGTGGCACGTACCGTCTCAATCTCTGGAACGGATCGGTGATTTGGAAGGTCCCGCCCCCCAGCATCACAGGCCTTAGCACCGGGGGCTTGGCCAGCGGAATGAATGGGATCGTTTATGTCACCAGCAACCACGAAGAGGTCCCCAACTTCAGGTCGGGTTTCGTGTCAGCCGGCAAGGTCTTGGCAAGCATTTCCAGCCTCGTTGACTGCTCCAACATCATCACGAAAAGTCGTTAGAGCTTGAGAGTGTAGAAGCAAGCCATCCCCAAAGGACCTCAAAAGCCCCTTTAATCAGCTTAGGTCAGCGTATTCGGTAAGCGATGGCTCGCTTATTTGGCGACGAAACACATCCTATGCGGCGAATGCGGGCGCCGCCGTCTCTGCGGGCACCTGGGAAACAGACCAATGAAGCCCCCAAGAGACTTTTATAGGGTATAGGGCAGGGTTTAGGGTTTAGGGTTTAGGGTTTAGGGTTTAGGGTTTAGGGTTTAGGGTTTAGGGTTTAGGGTTTAGGGTTTAGGGTTTAGGGTTTAGGGTTTAGGGTTTAGGGTTTCGGGTTTCGGGTTTAGGGTCACTTAGGGAACCTTCCAGCGGGCTCCCAACGTGCATTAGTTAAGGGATGTTGCTGCGGTCTCTGGTTGACGGCACCTTACGCACGAATTTTTCGTACCAGCTTTGAGGGTTCAGGGTTTAGGGTTTAGGGTTTAGGGTTTTGTAGTGCGTGCCTTGCTCCTTGCAAGTCTTTGCAGCTTTGGCCCTTGCTAAGTTGGGCTTAGGGTTTAGGGTTTAGGGTTTCGGGTTTGGGTTTAGGGTTTAGGGTTTGGGGCGAAGATCAAAACCTAAGCCCTCAACCTTCAAACCCTAAACCCTGAACCCTAAACCCTAAACCCTAAACCCTAAACCCTAAACCTTAAACCCTAAACCCTAAACCCTAAACCCTAAACCCTAAACCCTAAACCCTAACCCCAAACCCCAAACCCCAAACCCTAAACCCTAAACCCTAAACCCTCGCCCCTAAATGGCCTGGATGCCTCTGTCTGAAGGCACTCGACCCTTTGTAGTGGTGCCAACGGGGCCAAACCCAGCTATGGCTTTGCAAGTCGGCGCAAAAGACTGGGAGAAATACAACAACACCGATGCTTGGCTTTCTTCTGGCTGGCTCTTAGGACTTGAACTCTTTTGGCTTCTGTAGAAACTACAATAAGGAGCCTAAAAGTTAAACTGTTAGGAGGGGTTCAGCTGTCAGCCAAGGATGATTTCAGGAAGCCTGGCAAGCTTGTCGTCTTGGATGCCTTCGGAGGCCACACACTATGGGAGTATGACTTCCCGGACTGGTATCTTAGGGGTACTTGGAAATGGTTGTTAATTATTGAGTATTATAATCCCAGCGGTTGTGAGTTTTTGAGTACTATAATCCCTAAGGAACAGCTAAAATTGCAACTTTTGCTAGGGTTCCGAGTTCAGTATAGGTATGGGGTGGCTGCCAATGACACTTTTGAGCACAACTGCTTGCCTGACTCTTTTGCCAATCCAGCCATCGCGGGGGACGACAGCATCTACGTTGTTGGGGAAAGTGGTCAGCTGTACCTTAGGGACTGTGCAGGTAACCTTTAACCCTTTTTTGGCTAGGTAGAATCCCACCATATATATATATATATATATATACATATATATATACATATGTACATATGTACATATGTACATATATTCATATATACATATATATATATATATATATAAGGTTACCCTTTTTTGGGCTAAGGGTAGTCAGCCCCGAAGGTACCGCTTCCGGGACACCGATGGGGACGGCAAGGTCACCGTGAGAGATGAGATCTCCTCTCACAGCACAGGCAACGGCTTCCAGGGGGCCCCGGCCATCAGTGATGGGATTCTGGCAATCGCTCCGTGCAACGGGCTGCAGGTCTTCCTTTCGTAGCTGCCTATCTGCCGACTTTTGATTGGCTTGTGCACTCCAAGAGCACCCCAGGGTCTTGAATGCTAAGTACTGAACCCTAAACCCGAAACCCGAAACCCGAAACCCGAAACCCGAAACCCGAAAGCCGACACCCTAAACCCTAAACCCTAAACCCTAAACCCTAAACCCTAAACCCTAAACCCTAAACCCTAAACCCTAAACCCTAAACCCTAAACCCTAAACCCTAAACCCTAAACCCTAAACCCTAAACCCTAAACGTAGGATCCAAGCCAGCAGCCGGCTGAACACCAGCAATGCGAGCCGGGATGCGCTGCGGGAAAAGGGAGCACCAGCAGGCCCCAGACAGTTGGGGTTTAGGGTTTAGGGGTAGAGGGTTTCGGGTTTAGGGTTTAGGGTTTAGGGTTTAGGGTTTAGGGTTTAGGGTTGCAGTATCCCAAGTGGCTGCAAGGCAGTTGTTTTCAAATGCCTGCAGATGCTCGGGTAGTCGTACATTGTCATCGGCTCATAGTGGCCCTAAACCCTAAACCCTAAACCCTAAACCCTAAACCCTAAACCCTAAACCCTAAACCCTAAACCCTAAACCCTAAACCCTAAACCCTAAACCCTAAACCCTAAACCCTAAACCCTAAACCCTAAACCCTAAAACCTAAAACCTAAAACCTAAAACCTAAACCCTAAACCCTAAACCCTAAAAACAACCAGGTAGCAAAATAGTCACCCAAGGCAGAACTAGCAATGGACAACGGAGCATTAGTGAAACTGCAGGATCTTTCCCACGCGACGGTTCACTCCTCATTGCATCCGATTGTGATCTCTACCTTGATTTGAAGGATGAGATGCATGTGTTCCATGTGCTCCATGTTCCTTTCTTTTTAGGTCCTGGTTGTGAACAATGACATATACGACCTGGTCATCAAGCATTTGAGCGAGTACGTTGGTAGCAAGGCCAGTGGCATGAGCGAGAGTGCAGCTGAATACGGGCCGTGCAACCACAATTTTTGAAGCGTACGGGGCCTACAGATTGCCAGCACAGATTGCCAGCACTCTGCCATCCAGGATGCTGCGGAGAAGTTCAATGACCAGGCGCACATTGCTTCTCAACCTCAGGCAATAGCATCAGAAGCTCTTGATCTGTAGCCTCCAGACAAGGTATCCAGAGGCCCCGCAATGAACAGCAAAATCCAAAAAACTGCCCTAAACCCAAACCTGAACCAATACAGAGTCGCCACAAAACAGGCAGGCCTGTGACACCGGAAGCTAAGCCCTAAGCCCTAAGCCCCAAACCCTAAACCCTGAACCCCGAACCCTAAACCCGAAACCCGAAACCCTAAACCCTAAACCCTTCCTTGCCAGGAATTCTTGCGGCAGCTCCGGGACATGTCTGAGCACCTTTGCCAGGACGGTGCCCCGAGCGGACACCCGCAAACCCCGAAAGGTTTGAAGTTTAGGGTTTAGGGTGTTAGGGTTTAGGGTTGGGGGTTTAGGGTTTAGGATATTAGGATTTGGGGTTTAGGGCGTTTGGGGTTTTACGTGTTTAGGGTTTTTAGGGTGTTTAGGGTGTTTGGGGTGTTTGTGGTGTTTAGGGTGTTTAGGGTGCTTAGGGTGTTTAGGGTGTTTAGGGTGTTTAGGGTGTTTAGGGTGTTTAGGGTGTTGAGAGTGTTTAGGGTGTTTAGGAACGCATGCCCAGACCCTAAACCCGGCCCTAAACCCCAAGACCCTCAATGCTTCTAGGACGCCCAAAGGCTTACGTGTAAATCCAACCCCCCCCCCCCCCCTCCCAGCAAGGGCTTCAAGTGAGGACTTGCCTACTTGGAGGTTCATGGGTAGTTCTGATTAGGGTTATAATTCTGGTAAACATACTTATAACCCTATTTAGGGTACGTATAACCTTACTTATAGCAACCCATGAACCTCCAAGTAAGTCGTTCGTAGGTCCCCAAAGGCTCCAATATCCCTTCATCGGTTTAGGGTTTAGGGTGTAGGGTCTCCAGAGTAGAGCAGCCTCCTGTCCCCCTTGCCCTAAACCGTAAACCGTAAACCATAAATCTTCAACCCTAGACCCTAAACCCTAAACCCTAAAACCTAAAACCTAAACCCTAAACCCAATTCTTGGGGCCTGAAGCAAGCCCAAGCTCGCGCCAGTACGTAATCGACTTGACGCCACTTCTGGTGGCCCGGGCATGTGGGCTTTTTTGGATGTAGGGTTTACGCTTTAGGGTTTAGGCTTTAGGGTTTAGGGTTTAGGGTTTCAGGGTTTCAGGGTTTCAGGGTTTCAGGGTTTCAGGATTTCAGGGTTTCAGGGGTTCAGGTTTTCAGGGAGCCTAGTTTAGGAAACGACCCATGCTTATGAAACCCAGAAGCTTGGCCTCCTGAGCCTCATGTACTTCATAGGGTTTAGGGTTTAGGGTTTAGGGTTTAGGGTTTATGGTTTATGGTTTAGGGCTTATGGTTTAGGGTTTCAACCTTAAACCCTAAACCCTCAATCCTAAACCTAAACCCTAAACCTGGTAGCCGCCTTGCCATGAGTATATCCACCTGCTGCATGCCCTTACTTCGAGTCTTGAGCCGCATGACAGCATTAGCCGTCCCGAAAGAAATTTCAAAGCCTATAAACCATATACATCTATATATATATATATAAATAAACCCAATAAACCCTATAAACCCTATAAACCCTATAAACCCAATAAACCCTATAAGCAACAGCCTTTTAAACCCTAATTGCCCCGAGAGCGACTCCAGTCTTGGCTTTGGCTTCGTGCTCTTGGGCACTGACTTCCGGGTATGGAAGGGTTTAGGGCTCAGGGCTCTTAGGATTTTACGGTTTGGGGTTTAGGTTTAGGGTTTAGGGTTTAGGATTTTAAGGGGCAGGGTTTAGGGTTTAGGGCTCAGACTCAGGCTTTTGGAGCAGTTTCCGAAGGCCGGAGGCCAGAAAGCTCCCCCAGTCGGCAGCCCCTTGGCCCCAACTCGCCCCCGAATCCAAGCTCAATTCCAGGTGTTCGTCTATGGCGTGGCGGCCCTAGATCCTAAACCCTAAGCCCCAAACCCTACACCCGACACCCTAAACCCCAAACCCTGAACCCGGCCCATTCTGCGCAATGAGCCCTGGGAGGTTCATGGCTGGTCACAAGTAGGGTCGTAGGGTTTTCAGTGCCCCAACACATTGTAGCACCCCAGTATGCCCCCATGTAATGACCCATGAACCACCAAGTCGAGGCTGTGCAGATGACATTTGGTCTTGACGGTCTTGAGGGGGAAGGGAAGCTGTGACAATGACACTTAAGCATGTCATTGTAGATTGACAGATAGATGGATGGATAGATGGATAGATAGATACATAGAGAGAAGCCGCTAAGAAAGATGAGCGGAGAGAGGCCAGAGAGTTGAGAGGCAGCGAGAGAGAGAGAGAGAGAGAGAGAGAGAGAGAGAGCGACCAATCGCGTTTTGACCCGAGATCTTGCCGCTGTGCGTGGCCCAGTTCTTCTTCCTCGGAGGTGTGGAGAGGGGTTCTTCAACCTGAACTATGCTCTCAACCAGAGTGTTTAGGGTTTTGCGAATGTGGTTCACAGAGCGGGACGCCAACGCAAAGGGGGCAGTATGTCGGGGCAACGCCTGGCAGGCAGATACTACTTGAAGAAGCCGCCGCCTCAGCTCCACAAGACCTAAGACGGTCGGCCTGTCGACGCCCATGACAGCTGCACCGGCAACAGAAAGAAGCCGTCGCATGCAGGGATTTCTAGTTTATTATAGTTTATTGTAGTTTTTTGTAGTTTGTTGTAGTTTATTATAGTTTAGTATAGTTTATTACAGTTTATTGTAGTTTATTCTAGTTTATTATGGTTCAGTATAGTTTATTCGGGGGGGGTGTTGGTTCTTAGGTCTGGCCTGCTTGATGACTACCTGGCCAGCAAAGTCGATCAGCGGCTGCCGCTTGGGCACAGGAGTTCTATGGGCACTTCACAAAAATTGGGGTACCCCGTGTATGCCCCAAATAGAATAGATTCCCCTTAACGGGACCCCCCCAAAAAGGGTACCCCCTTGTTCGGAAATCCCCATATCTGATGCAACCTTGAGGCTACGTCCAGTTTCGCAGCTTTATTGGTGCATGCAGACGGGTGCTGGCGCATCGGGAAATCCTTACTTGGAGGTTCATAGGTAGTTATAATTAGCGTTACAATTCTGGAAACCATACTTATAGCCTTATTTAGGGTGCTTAGAACCTTACTTATAACTGCTCATGACCCTCCAAGTACGTTGGGAACTCCGCCAAGGGGTTTGGCAAAACCCTAAACCCTGAACCCTAAACCCAAAACCCTAAACCCAAAACCGTAAACCTAAAACCCCAAAGCCTAAAACCCAAAACCCAAAACCCTAAACCCTAAACCCTAAACCCTAAACTCTAAACCCTAAACCCTAAACCCTAAACCCTATTTGGAGTAGATGGTGCATCTCCTCGGTGCGCTGAGGTAATTTTCGGGACGCGTGAGCCGCCCCCCTCCCCCCACCCGAGAGGGTCCGTCGCTGCATGTATCTGTAGCATATATATATATATATATATAAATCTATATATCTATATATATATATATATATGCATACATAGGTACACATATTCTTTTACGACAAAGAAAGAAACAAATGGATCTATATCATGCGAAGCACATGGGAGAGTGCGTAACACATGGGAAAGTGCGCAATGCTACAAGCTCCCAGACCCCTGGAGGATCCACGAAGTAAAACCCCCGAAGTACCCTATACTACTTGCACACTACTATTGCCTTAACGGCATCTACGTTCTGGATCCTCGATGGGGTCTGGGTTGCTGTTTGCTTGCACCTCCGGGTCAGGGTCTCGAAACTGTGGGACGTCCGGATGCAACGTGCCATGCCCCGCTGACTTTCGACGACCCTGCGGAGCAAAAGGCTGAAGAAGGGTTTAGAGCTTAGGGTTTATTTAAGGTTTATTTAGGGTTTATTTAGGGTTTATTTATAGGGTTTAGATCTTAGGGTTTATTTAGGGTTTAGGGGGTTTAGGGTGGTGCACGACTCGAGTACCCCAGAGCTTACTGTTTGCGATCCGGCTGTTGAGGAACATGCTGGGTCGTGACTTGGGCTGGGCGGGACTCCGGGCTTGCACAGTGTTTCTTCAGTCGCAAGTCGTGGCCTGCTGCAAAATGCGCCTTGGGCCAATAATTCCATGTGCTGCATCCTAAACCAGCCTGAGCCACCCTGTGCTATCCTGTGCGCGCTGGAGTTGGGCTGCAGTTTCCGGACGTTTCATGCCTGCCACCCCACAGCCACACACCCAAAGCACGCCCAGAAGACCCGTAATTACACCGGTGAAGGACACTCACGACCGGCTTCACTAGATCCTTATTCTTATATTACTATTACTATTTCTATTACTGTTACTGTTACTATTACTATTACTATTACTATTCCTATTCCTATTCCAATAGGCCCCAGCTCCACCGGAACAAGAACCCCCAAAACTGCTCTGCGAGTGCCCGGAGCTCGGAGCAGCCATGGCGAAGAAGCGGAAGGCCGGGGTGGCCCAGAGGGGAGGGGGCGGTTTAGGGTTTAGGGTTTAGGGTTTGGGGTTTAGGGTTTAGGGTTTAGGGCCCCCTCATCCCGAAACCCGACACCCTAAGCCGGTTTTGGCCGGAAGGTGTGCTTCAGGGAGCTGGTTTATGCTGGCTGATACGAAGGGTTGAGGGTTCGAAGCAGGGTTTTCATACGCAGGGTTTCTAGGGCTCTAAGTAGGGTTCTCTAGTTCCTAAGGCTCTAACTCTGACCCTTCTTGTGTGTCCTCCCGCGAGCCTCTCAACGAAGCCCCCTGAACCAGAGGCGGCCTCACAGGCTGTGCCACAGGAGGACGCAGCTCTAAACTGAGTGGCCTGTGAGTGGCAGGGTTTAGGGTGCAGGGTTAGGGCATGTTAGCGTACTGCACCCAGCAGACAGTGTCCTGATACAATTGATAAATAAATAAATACATTTAAACAAATATAAACAGATAACTAAATAGATATATGTATATATATATATATGTATGTATATATGTTGATTTCTTTGCATCGCTTGTGCATAGTTGTAAGGTTGCAACTGTGTTGTCTTCAATGCAGCCGCAAGAACAACTCCAAACCCCAAGCTCTCCAAACCCCAACGCCCTTATTCCCCAAACCACTCATGAGTGCGCCGGGTGGAGCCTTGCCTGGCGGGTGGCCAAACATTCCCAAACCCCTAAACCCCCCAACCCCTAAACCCTAACCCCCCAAACCTTAAATCCTTAACCCCAAGCCCCAACCCCTGAACCCAAAACCCTAAACTCTAAACCGTTGCACTAGCGTGGAGCCTGCTCGGGCCGAGAGTGCTTGCGGAATCCCCAAACCCGAAACCCTAAACCCCGAATCTCCAAACCCTAAACCCAAAACCAACCCAAACCCCCCGAACCCGAAACCCGAAACCCACAACCCCGAATCCCCAAAATCCTAGACACCGAAACCGCAACCCCAAACCCTGGACCCTAAACCCAAATCTTAAACGCTAAACCCCGGCCCCACACCCCAAACCGAAACCCCAAACCCTAAACCCCCAACCCTAAACCCTAAACCCGAAACCCTAAACCCGAAACCCTAAACCCCAAACACTAAACCCTAAACCCGAAACCCTAAACCCCAAACCCTAAACCCGAAACGCCCCTAAAGATCCTTTGGGCGACTCCAGGAGGTTGAGGAGGAAGACTGCGCGGAGCCCCAGCTTTCTTCAGCACGGGAGACGCCACCATTCCATGGTCAAGGCAGGTTCTTGAGGTTGTATTGGGGTTTAGGGTTTAGGGTTTAGGGTTTAGGGTTTCGGGTTTAGGGTTTAGGGTTTAGGGTTTACGGTTTAAAGCCGAGTTTAGGGTTTCGGGTTTACGGCATCATCCAGGCCAGGACCTTCTGCAAGCTTGCTGCGAAAGGGTTTAGGGCTAGGGTTTAGGGCTAAGGGTTAGGGCTTAGGGATTATGCCTTCGTTTCAGGGCTGTTGGAGTCTCTGGGCTGGTCAAGACAAAGTTGATGGCTGCGCTGAGGCGAGGAAGCAGAGGACGAGGAAGCGACAGGGAGCCCCAATGCGGTTTAGGGTTTAGGGTTTAGGGTTTACGGTTTAGGGTTTTGGGTTTGGGGTTTAGGGTAGGGTTTAGAGTTTAGGGTTGAGGGCTAAGGACCATACTTCAATTAGGCCCCGTACAATACAGCCACAAGGACCCTGATTAAGAGAAGGACCCATATCAGGACCCCTACTGCAATTTAGGCCACGTTCCTTAAGGCGAACTTGGAGGTTCATTGTACTTATTCACCAATGATAACTGTACTTATATCACCCACTTATCAGCCCCTTAAGTGCCCTAATATGGTTACAAGTACAGTTATAAGTACAGTTACCCTAAACCCTAAGCCCTAAACCCTAAACCCTAAACCCTAAACCCTAAACCCTAAACCCTAAACCCTAAACCCTAAACCCTAAACCCTAAACCCTAAACCCTAAACCTCCAAGTTTCGGGGCTCTCGGCGCACGCGCAGGATGAGGAAGAGATCGTGGATGCGGAGGCCGAGGCCGCTGACTCACGCACTTTCTCAAACCCTAAACCCTACACCCTAAACCCTAAACCCTGAACCCTAAACCCTAAACCCTAAACCCTATAGCCCTAAACCCTAAACCCTAAACCCTAAACCCTAAGGGGTTACATGAGGCTTCGGGCCCAGAGGGCTCCACATCCCTCAGTTGGGGAGCACCCCTTCATCATAGCGGCGGCCCCGATTTGTGATTGAAGGTTTAGGGTTTCTGGGGTTTTGGGGTTTCGGGTTTCGGGTTTAGGGTTTCGGGTTTAGGGTTTAGGGTTGAGGTTTAGGATAGTATTGGGGGTCTCTGGGTCAGGGAGATCCTGACCCAGCGGTCAGCGATGGAACGCACAATTTCAAGAACGACCTTAAAGCCCACGATGCCTTACAAGTAAAGCCTGTAAGCCTCGAAGCTCAAAGTCCTAAATTCCAAGCCCGCTGGCGTGTGTGTGTGTGTGTGTGTGTGTGTGTGTGTGTGTGTGTGTGTGTGTGTGTGTGTGTGTGTGTGTGTGTGTGTGTGTGTGTGTGTGTGTGTGCGCGTGTCAGTCAGTCAGTCATGTGAGTCATGTGTGTCTGTGCGACTACGTTCTGTGTTGGGATTTTTGACTTAGTAGTGGCGAGCCTCTCTTGAGCCTGGGTTCATGGTATTGCCCTCTCTCATGTTGCTCTTAACGGTTGATGTGGGGTGTGGGCGGCATCGAAAGGTCGAAAGGGCTCTTGAGCAAGAAGACTGCCGATTTCAATCCCTGCGCCCCGCAGTGTGGCTTTGTGTGTGGTGCAGATCTATGTAAGTGGGTTGCCAAAGAAGACCAAACCCGAAATGCGTTCCTTTTGCTACATGCGGAAACAGGAGAACGAGAACGACGAGGAGGAAGAGGATGAAGGGCCCAAGATGGTCTGGAGGCAGCTGCGGTGGAACTTTGAACCCTAAACCCTCAACCCTAAACCCTCAACCCTCAACCCTCAACCCTCAACCCTCAACCCTCAACCCTCAACCCTAAACCCCAAACCCTAAACCCTCAACCCTAAACCCTAAACCCCTAACCCCCTAAAGCTGAAAAGTACTAACGGGCCGGTGTGGCTGTAATTATGAGGCCGGGCGTCGACGTCATCGAGGATGGGGAGCAGCTTGACGTGGAGCGCTGCCCTCGACGACTCTTGCTACTCTCAGAGGGCGTTTAGGGTTTAGGGGTTTAGGGGTTTAGGGGTTTAGGGGTTTAGGGTTTAGGGTTTAGGGTTTAGGGTTTAGGGTTTGGGGACCCCAGATCTTAAGCTACTATTTGCTTAAGAACCCCACGAAAACTCAACAATGATAATCCCCCTCTTGCCCTTATCAGGAAGAGTATTTTTTTTTTCGGAGGTTCTGAAGCAATTCGTAGAAAGTCTTAAACCCTCAAGACTCGAAACCTGCCGACGACTTTTCCCGCAGACTTGACATGAACCTTCTGCTTCTGGCCGCCGTAGCTAAAACGGACCCAGGATATTAGGGTTTAGGGTTTAGGGTTTAGGGTTTAGGGTTTAGGGTTTAGGGTTTAGGGTTTAGGGTTTAGGGGGATAAACCCTACATTACCCTTAATAAGGAGGAACATGTTTTACATTTTTTCGGGGTTCTTAAGCAATTAGTAGGGGGTCTCAGACCGTGTAGAGAAGGAGCTTAGTTTGAGTTGCCGGCATCAGGGTATCATTTTTTTTTACCTCAGCACGTGTAACTTAATGTAAGTTGCCCAAAAGCAATTTCAGCACAGAGGCACCTGGCCAAGCGTAGCGGAGGCCATGAGACCCCCCGCCCCCGACAATCCGCGTGAATGTGGCCAGAAGCTACTAGTTGCTTGAGAACCCGAAAAATGTAAAACATGTTCCTCCTTACTAAGGGTAATATAGGGTTTATGATTTTTTTATTCTTTTGGGGTTCGTAAGCAAATAGTAGGAAGATAGAGACGCCTACCTAGGACTCAGGGGCCTCGCCTTTCGAGTAGAGGCACCGATCGATTCTCAGTAGTGGGGAACTCGGTACCTTATCTCCCTTATACCCTGCAACCCTAAACCCCAAACCCCAAAACCCCAAACCCCCAAACCCCAAACCCCAAACGCACAAATCGAGAAGTGTACCGAAACCCAAACCCGAACCCTAAACCCGAAACCCTAAACCCTCAGAGGCTTATCTGGGGACCCGAAGTCTCGAAGGCCTGGGACATACGACATGCTCCACCGTGCCCAAGTCGAGTTCCGGCGCCTGGAGGGGGGGGGGGGGGGGGGCATTTAGGGTTTAGGGTTTAGGGTTTGGGGTTTAAGGTTTAGGGTTTAGGGTTTGGGGTTTAGGGTTTAGGGTTTAGGGTTTAGGGTTTAGGGTTTAGTGTTAGTGTTTAGGGTTTAGGAGGGAAGCAGGGCCTTCGGCCCTCCAGGGCTTCCTGGAATGAGGAGACTTTAGGGTTCAGTTTGTTTTTTTTGTTCACGGTTTAGGGTTTAGGGTTTCGGGTTTAGGGTTTAGGGTTTAGGGCTTAGTTTTATCAGGAGCTTTTGTTTGTTTGTTGTTTGTTTGTTGGTTTGTTTGGTTTTGGTTTTGCTCCACCCGCTCCCGCCCCTCTCCCCTCCAGAGAAAGAAGAAGCCCTAATGCCAGCGAGTCTCAAGAAGACCTGTGCTGGAGACCTCTGGGATGCGGTGAAGAAACTTGGAGCTTCGTAGCATCAGGGTTTGAGGTTTAGGACCTTGCAGCAGGATGGAAATAGGACCTTGAAGCAAGCTACCGTGATAAATCAGATAAGCATGTGTTTGCTACGTATGCAATAGACAAATATGAACAAATATCAATAAATAGATAAAGAATGAAGCAGATAAACGATGATAAATAGATAAGAAAATAAATAAATTCATAAAAAATGTATATACACAATTATAAACATAAATATAAATATGAACAAAACACAGAAACAAAAGCACAAAACATATATATATATATATATATATATATATGTATATATATATATATAGAAAAACGTAGATAGATAGGTATATATATATATATATATATGTATCCAGATTGTGCCGGCTTACCCGCAGCAACTCCGTCCACTAATTTGAGCCCAAGGTGGCCCTGCCTCTCCTTGGACGTGGTGCGCGACGACCTCGGGGCGCAGCGCCGGGAACCCAGGGCTCAGGGCATTACGTGGTATCAGGGCCCTAAACCCTAAACCCTAAACCCTAAACCCTAAACCCTAAACCCTAAACCCTAAACCCTAAACCCTAAACCCTAAACCCTAAACCCTAAACCCAAAACCCAAACCCCAAACCTTCAACCCTAAACCCAATATGACAGAATATTCGGGTTTGGAGATGTATGTTGTTGCTTTATTTCAAACGGAACTCAGGGTTCAGAGAACTAAAAGCGGACGTGCCGCCCTAAGTCCTTGCAGCAAAAAAGGATGTTTGGGTGATGTTTGGACGGGTTGCAGGGTGGCTGGGTTTCTCGGCAAGGCACTTCCTATCCCATGACCGCGTACGTGGTGGCTGGATCGCAGGCTTCGAAAACAGAGGACATCCCACACTTTCTTGTGACCAAAGCCCTAAGCTGATGGACCCAGCAGGCATGACCCACGCATTGCACGTGCGAAACTTGCAACTTGAAACCCCTCCTAGCCCTCAACCCTCCACTGCAAGCTAAGAGGAAGTCTATCCCCCCCCTCCCCCCGCAAGCTCGGATGGCGTGCTGCAGGACAACCGGCTTTATATGATGAAGTGGCCGGATGCTTAGCGTTCTGTGCAGGCAGAGCGGAAATGTCAAAAAGGGAACTCCCACCTTTGATCGAGTGCCCCTGCTACAGAGCCCCAAACCCTCAACCCTCAACCCTCAACCCTCGACCCTCAACCCTCAACCCTCAACCCTAAACCCAAAAACCCTAAACCCTAAACCCTAAACCCTCAACCCTAAACCCAAAACCCTACCTAAGCCAAGGCACAAGCTCTACAAAACCTCCAAGGATGGCAAGGAGGCAGCCGGAGCCACCTGGCAGGGCCTTGATTCGGTTTGGGGTTTAGGGTTTCCCTAATAGGGTTTAGGGTTTAGGGTTTAGGGTTTGGGGTTTGGGGTTTGGGGTTTGGGGTTTCGTAGCTGCGTAGCAAGCCGGGCATTCTGCAGGATGATGAGGACGAGAGCGAGGAAGAGGAGGACTGCGCAGCGCAGAACTTGTCACCGAAAGTGGCACTACTTGAGAAGGATCATCTTAACCGGGGTTGTAAGTAGTTGTGACTATAGTTGCCCTAGTCATAACCCTACTTGCTAAGCCCCCTGATCCTTTAAGTAGGAACCCCTTAGCAAGTTGAGCCGAGTTCATCTTGAAGACGAAAAAGATGACCCCAGGAGTTCCTGTTGCGAAACGCGCGTGGTGAACTTTTGTTTTTTTTGGCTTCCACGGCAAGGACAGCGAGGATGAGCACGAGGCGGCACTGGAGTCTGAAACCTAGCCGTTTGTTTAGCGGCAGTGGGGTTTAGGGTTGATTCGGGTTTAGGGCGGCCCCAAACCCAAACCACAAGATCTGCAAATGGAAGATTGCCCTCCAACTTGCAAATCCGTTTAAGGCTCTGTGTAAGGAGAGCTCGTGCGGACGTGCCGCGGGAAAATGTGGAACCACAAGGAACTTGCGACTGTGCAACACGCTGGTGGGAGCAAGGCGCAGCTTTCGGCAGGGAGACAGGCATGTCATCAGATCTCAGAGCCAGACTATCGGTTCGCTTACTTGGGTTTTGGGTTTAGGGTTTAGGGGTTTAGGGTTTAGGGTTTAGGGTTTAGGGTTTAGGGTTTAGGGTTTAGGGTTTAGGGTTTAGGAGCCAGACTATCAGTTAGCTTCCGCAAAGGTCAAAGACAACTCCCCACCCTGGTGGCGTGAATCGGGCCTCGTGCTCAGATGCTGGCGCACTTCCGGCCCTCTGGTGCCGACTGCTTTGCTGTCCTGATCCAGTGCTTTTCCGCGGCATCCGAAAATCCCACACTCCCACGCCCAAGACCCAAACCATTGCAAACCCATACAGGCTGAAACCCCAAACCCAAAACCACGTGTACTGACCGTTGAGAGTGCTCCGTTTTGCAAGCTCATGCGCCTTTTTGGGGCTTCGGTTTGTCTTGGCGTAGTGAAGTGCCAGCATGGCCGAAGTTATTGCTGCAGCCAGCGTCGTTGCTGGGCCTACGCTGTTTTGGGCGTGTTCGATGGTTCCATGATTAAGCAAACTTTCTGGCATTGGCCCAAACCCTAAACCCTAAACCCTAAACCCTAATCCCTGAACCCTGAACCCTAAACCCTGAACCCTGAACCCTAAGCCCTAACCCTAAACCCTAAACCCTGAACCTTGTTGACATCTTTGAGCTCTTGGGTTCTGAGCTCTCAGCTGGATCTTGAGCTTGTCAACGGCTCCAGGGTTGTGCCTCTGAGGGCGTACCCCTCGAAAGTTCCTCCAGTAGAACCTTTCTATGGGCATGTGAATCCCAGAACGCAGGGGTGCAAACTTAGGGGTAGAACCTTGGATCCCCTAAAGACGTGCTTTTGTCGCAGAGATCGGCACTTCCTTGGAGGTGAGTGAGGAGGTGTGCGGACTGACATACTTTTCTTTTCTACTATAACTGTACTTATAACCCACTTATAAGCCCTTTAAGTGCCTTAATATGGTTATACGTACACTTATAAGTACAGTTGTAATCGGTTACTAAGTACCATGAACCTCCAAGTAAGAGCAAGCCCGGAGGCCACCTGGTCCACAACATGCGCAAGGAAAAGCTTCAACTTGCAGGCGAGCAACAGCTGGAAACCAACAAACCTTAAAGCCAGAAACCCAAAAACACCTTAAAACCCCCCAAAAAAACCCTAAACCCTAAGACCCTAAAATCCTAAACCCTAAATCCTAAATCCCAAACCCTAAACCCTAGACCCTAAACCCTAAACCCTAAACCCTAAACCCCAAACCCTAAACCCTAAACCCTCAACCCTTCTCCCTAAACCCTAAACCCTAAACCGACCCCGGAATCCCAGGTCCGCGCCATGCCGCAAGCGGGGCACATCGTGGCAACCTGGGCCGTGGCTCGGCCACGTGAGCGAGTTAGGGTTTAGGGTTTAGGGTTTAGGGTTTAGGGTTTAGGGTTTAGGGTTTAGGGTTTAGGGTTTAGGGTTTAGGGTTTAGGGTTTAGGGTTTAGGGTTTAGGGTTTAGGGTTTAGGGTGAGGGCTTCGTGTTTAGGGTTTAGAGTCCGTACTTACGAAGAGCTTAGCGTTTAGCTGCAAAAGGGTTAAGCCCGACTATTTGCTCAAGAACCCCCACAAAACAGAAAGTTGTTCTTCCTTATAGGGGTAATATAAGGATTATCCTTTTTTTTGTTTTTGGGGTCGGGGTTTTGGTATGGTATAAGTATCTTCTGATATATGATACCAGTAGCATGACAAGCCTCTTAAGCTTTTGATTTGAGTGTATTATGATATGTGACACCATGAAAATTACAATTCTAACGATATGAACTATGCATGCATGAAAAACCGTATTATGAGTCCATCATTAAATCTACTATAGTGGACGAGAACAGACTATATTCTACAACCGGCCATAGTTCACGGCTGTCTTTCCGGTTTCGTACCATGCGTTACACACCTGCGCACTAAATATACTATAATGTACCCGAGGCACCTCGCCCCGTACTTAGAGCCCTATGTTTAGCTACGCACGAACCTCCAAGTAAGGTTTCAGTTCACCTCAGAGAGCCTGGGCTCAAAAAGGATTAGGGTTTAGGGTTTAGGGTTTAGGGTTTAGGGTGCGAAAGTCTAAGTTGAGTGTCCCCCGTTTCGGAGATTTAACAGCCGAGGATACCGGCAAGGTGCACATGCGAGGTCCTTAGCACTCGAAAAAGCAGAAGCTGTGGCACAACAAGCTCTGGTCTTGTCTGGGTCCCTGTCTTTTGGACCCTCGGATGTCTCTTTTCATCTCCATGAGCCCCAAGCTAAAGCCTAAAGCCTAAAGCCTAAAGCCTAAAGCCTAAAGCCTAAAGCCTAAAGCCTAAAGCCTAAAGCCTAAAGCCTAAAGCCTAAAGCCTAAAGCCTAAAGCCTAAAGCCTAAAGCCTAAAGCCTAAAGCCTAAAGCCTAAAGCCTAAAGCCTAAAGCCTAAAGCCTAAAGCCTACAGCCTAAAGCCTAAAGCCTAAAGCCTAAAGCCTAAAGCCTAAAGCCTAAAGCCTAAAGCCTAAAGCCTAAAGCCTAAAGCCTAAAGCCTAAAGCCTAAAGCCTAAAGCCTAAAGCCTAAAGCCGAAACCCTAAACCCTAAACCCTAAACCCTAAACCCTAAACCCTAAACCCTAAACCCTGATGCCCCAAGGTGGAACCTAGAAGCCCATCGGAAAGCGCTGGACAAAAGCGGCGACAAGGCTCCGCCACCCGCCGGCCCGAGAGCCCCGGGATCCTGAGCTCACTCCCCTGGTTCTTAGGGAAGGGTTTGGGGTTTGGGGTTTGGGGTTTAGGGTTTAGGGTTTAGGGTTTAGGGTTTAGGGTTTAGGGCTAGGGTTTAGGGTTTAGGGTTGAGGCAATGAGGGCCCCCATATGTAGCCTTTAAGTGAGTTTTTCTAGGGTACCTCATTCCCTGATTCCCTACTAAGAGCCAGCCAGTCACGCGCGACGCAAGGCGCCCGCTCATGCCAAGCCCATCTTCACGAGTGAGGCGCACAAAGATGAGGCGAGCCGCTTCTCCCCCCTGCCCTAAGTGGTTTAGGGTTTAGGGTTTAGGGTTTAGGGCTTAGGGTTTAGGGTCTAGGGGTTAGGGGGAAGTTCTTCACAAGGGTTTTGAGATATTTGGAGGTTCATGGGCAGGCATACGCAGGGTTCTAAGTACCCTAAAAAGTGTCATAGCTACAGATACTGTGCTTTGTAAACCGACTTCGAACTGTTCAGGAGCCTCCAAGAAGGGTTTGAGGGGAAGTCGCGCAGGCTGTTTGTGTATACCCTAAACCCTAAACCCGAAACCCGAAACCCCAAACCCTAAACCCTAAACCCTAAACCCTAAACCCTAAACCCTAAACCCGCCCAGGGTTTCGCCATGGACTTCAGCCCGCATGACACCGGGCGCTTCCTCTCTGGAGGTGTGAGCCCAGAGTCTTGGTTTAGGGTTTAGGGTTTAGGGTTTAGGGCTTAGGGCTTAGGGCTTAGGGCTTGGGGTTTAGGGTTTAGGGTTTAGGGTTTACGGTTTAGGGTTTAGGGTTTAGGGTTTAGGGAGGAGCCAAAAAGTAGAACCTCCAAATGGGGGTTTTACGAAAATATGGGATTCCCAAAGAGATCCCAGATGGTAGGATCCCCGTATAAGAAGGACCCCAACAAGGAACCCATATTTTCGGAAACCCCCAAATAGTACCCTATAGTCTACTATTGGGTCAGTCTTCGGAACCCTTAAAGGGATCTACTTCTTGGAGGGGGCAATGCCCACCCGCAGCTTACTTGGAGGTTCATGGGCAGTTGTAAGTAGGGTTTATAAGTACCCGAAAGGTTATAAGTATCGTCACCATACATATAAGCCTAAATAGAGAGCACATGCAATGCCGCAGCATGGAGGCAATGACGCGCTCATCATGATGGCGGAACCTGTACCTGGAGGTTGGGCAATCTTCTTTAGGGTTTAGGGTTTCGGGTTTAGGGTTTGGGGTTTTCGGGACTTGAGGGGACAGCAGACACCACTCCTGCCAGCAATGAATGCTCAGGAGATGTCGTCCAGCTACAATAGAAGAACTGGGAGTTCTCTGTTGAGTGCAGCAAATGTGTGCAGTTCATAGCACAAGTTCTCATTGCGACAGAACATGCAGCAGTCGCAACATAGTTGCAGCAACGGAGATGCATGCTGGCGTTTCTTTGCGTCCCGAGGCATCGGCGGCAGTTCCAAGCCCTCAATCCAAAAGGTCTAAGCTTCAAACACCCAGATGCTTAAAAATAGTTTCACTACTTGATGATATAGTGAATTATATGTGAATTGAATCGTGAACTATATGTGAATTAAATAGTGAATTTTGTGTAGACACATGGCCGAAGACACTGGCAAGCGTCTCTGCGCAGTATGCACACTAGATGCCGGCCATCCTGCTCGCGCAGTGTCTCGTGGGCATCGAGTGCATCGGAGAGGGGTTTAGGGTTTAGGGGTGAGGGTTTAGGGTTAGGGTTTAGGGTTTAGGGTGTTGGGTTTAGGGTTTAGGGGTTTAGGGTTTAGGGTCCCCATGGGCGGGCTTGACGGATGATGACGGTTACCGGGGGACTGACGGTAGGGGCATGAGGGGCAAAGGCCGCAGCGCCGATAAGACTGTGAAATCGGTGCTGCAATCGCTTGTACTGCTGCTCGATTGCGGGTCGTTCCTCCCCTCACGCGTTCTCGCCCTCTTCGGTTTTCTGCTCGTGAGGGGAAAGAGGTTCTCTGCGAGAGACCCAGCCAAAGCCATCAGAACTGTACACATGCGGCCGGTGCCCCGCTACAGTGGTTGTTTAGGGGGTTTAGGGTTAAAGTCTGTAGGATTTGAAGTGTTGCAGGGTTTAGGATTTAGGTGAAGTGGAGCTGAAACAGTGCCCTGTTCAGACGAAGTTGATAATCTAAGACAGTTCCCAACCCCCCCCACCCCCCGGCCCCACCCGAGAATTTGTTTGACCCACTATCTATCCAAGAATTTCTTGACCCAACCTCCACCCCCTCCCCCTCCCTGCAGCGCAGAGGGGGTATATCGCACATATTCGCACGCAATTTGCCGTATAAATGTATGTCTGTGTATGGTCAAATCATGGGAGGGAGACATCTCTCGCTCTCTCTCTCTCTCTCTCTCTCTCTCTTTCTCTCTCTTTCTCCTCTCTTTCTCTCTCTCTCTCTTTCTATATATATATATATTCACATATATATATATATACTCTGTTGTAAGGATCTTCAACTACAAGTAGAACATGACTTAACGTGACTAGACGGACAGGCTGGAAAGTGGCTTCAGATCAGCCCTTCAAGGCGCACAAGTCGTCGGTCGAGGACGTCCAGCGGCTGGGCTTTGAAGCAGCGGGGGTTTAGGGTTTAGGGTTTAGGGCTGAGGGTTTAAGGTCACTAGGTGCCTGTTAAGGAGCTTACATGCAATCGGCAAGGAAGCGTTGCATCGGAAAGTTTACAACAGTAGTAGTCGTCGTCGCTGGCAAACAACACCCTAAGCCTGACTTGCCGCCCCTCCCCTCTCTCCCCTTCCCAGTCAAACAGCGTTAGACGACCTACGGCATTTTCCAAAATAGGGGTACCTCTCTATACCCCAAATAGGATAGAATCCCTTTAAAGGGGACCCCGAGAAAGGATACCCGTATTTTCGGAAACCCCCCATGAACCCCAATTCCGGGAGGGTCTTCAAGAGGTGTTTGCCGCTTGGGATGGGCTTGGGCGGCTTGGGGATGTTTAGCGAGTCCGGTGGCAAAAGGCAGGTTTCAGGGTTTAGGGTCTAGGGCTTAGGGTTTAGGGTTTAGGGCGTTTAGGGGAAAAGGTTTCTCTGCCATGCTCGTTCGGAGATAGGGTTCAGGCCGAGGGTGGATCCTCAAAGCCCGCTGTCCACTGTGGCTCTTGTTGTCTTCGGTTCGGGCTCTTGGAGGGTTTGAACTTTTGACTCTATGACCTCCGTTTTTTTTTTCGACGGTTTCATGGGTCGATATAAGTCGGGCTCGAGGTGGGGCTATACATCGGTTTTCCCTACGAGACTTACAGCTTGGGATGTTCCCCCTTACTAACAGTCCAAGAAGATTAAGGACTGTTAGAATAAGCGGGAACATTCCAACTTTACAGCTAGAGTTGACGATGGGTTCTAGCCGCTTAGACAAATGTAGCTGCCCGATTCGAACTTACAACTCCCTAGTTTAGGGTTTAGGGTTTAGGGTTTAGGGTTTATGGTTTAGGAATTAGGGTTTAGGGTTCTGCCCAGGAACTTCGTTGTCATTGGCCAGCCCTCGGAACACTTGGAACATGGCGCTCCCCCTAAACACCTAAACTAAACCCTAAACCCCAAACCCTAAACCCCAAACATGGGGAGTTCTGGTTTCTGTTGGGGTTCCTATTCTCATAGAGCCTGATATTTGGGTACGGACCAAAAAGGGAACCACTAAACCTGCAGTGCTTTTCGTGTTTGGAGACCCTGCAGACCCGAACCCCCTAAACCCCTAAACCCCTAAACCCCTAAACCCTAAACCCTAAACACCCTAAACCCCTGAACCCCAAGCCCTGAACCCTGCCTGCCTTGCGCGAGTGTGAGAGCCGAAGCCCCTGAACCCCAAACCCGAAACCCGAAACCCTAGAACCCACGTGTCAAACAGAGTGCGGACCCTGAACCCTAAACCCTAAACCCTGAACCCTAAATCCTAAACCCTAAACCCTAAATCCTAAAGCCTACATCCTAAACCCTAAACCCCAAACCCCAAACCCTAAACCCTAAACCCTAAACCCTAAACCCTAAATGGTCCGCTTTTCAAAGCGCCTTGGGCCCAGGTGGAAGAAGCTGGGAGCCGGGGAGAAGCCCCGGGCCTAGCCTTGAAGACACCGTCTCTTTTGACGGAACTTAGGGTCTGATTAGGGTTTAGGGTTTAGGGTTTAGGGTTTAGGGTTTAGGGTTTAGGGTTTAGGGTTTAGGGTTTAGGGTTTAGGGTTTAGGATTAGGGTTTTGGGTTTTGGGGGTTTAGGTTTGGGAGTACTCAAAGCCTGCGCTTGGGGGCAGTTTTGGCAACTGCAAAAAGGTTTAGGGGATTGGGGTGAAGGGTTCAGGGGTTTAGGGGTGGTTGCAAAAAGGGTTCAAGGGTTTAAGCGTTTGGGGGTCTACGGTCTACGGTTACCCTAAACCCTAAACCCTACACCCTGAACCCTAAACCCTAAAGCCTAAATCCTAAACCCCAAACCCTAAACCCTAAACCCTAGACCCTAGACCCTAAACCCTAACCCTTAAACCCCAATCCCTAGACCCTAAACCCTAAACCCTCAACCCTAAACCCTAAAACCCCTCTACATGTTCGACATGCGGGGGGTATTTCCAAGGTCCAGCTTTGCTTCCTGCAGCTCCGATGGCAGCTGGAAGGTCTGGGATATCCGTGAGAAGGCGCCATGCGTCAGGTCACTTAGGGTTTAGGGTTTAGGGTTTAGGGTTCAGGGATGTTCAGGGTTCAGGGGTTTAGGGTTTAGGGTTTAGGGTTCAGGGGTTTAGGGTTTAGGGTTCAGGGGTTTAGGGTTTAGGACTTAGATTTTAGGGTTCAGAGGTTTAGGGCTTAGGGTTTCGGGTTTAGGGATGGTTTGCATGGCTGTGAAGGATTCATCTTGTGCTCTGATTTCCCAAAATAGGGATCCCCCTACTGCACCCCAAGATACTACAATCCTTCTCATAGGGACCCGAAAAGGGTTTAGGGTTTAGGGCTCAGGGTTTAGGGTTTAGGGTTTTAAGGTTCAGGGTTTAGGGTTGAGGGTTTAGGGCACAACCCTAGCTTCCGGAATCCCCCCCTGATTGCTGCCTTGCCAGGACAGAAAGAAGCCAGCGATCAACGTGTGTGGGGCTTGGTCGGCAGTGGCGCCAACCCAAAGCCTTGGGTTGGCAGACCTCTTCCGTAATTCATGAGGTCTCTCGGGTTTAGGGTTTAGGGTGTAGGGTTTAGGATTTCTTAAATCAAGGGACTCAAGGACGGACCCTTAAGGGATTTTAGAGGTTATTTAGGGGCTATAGGGACTACGTAAAGTATATGTCGGTTGTATAGGGGTCACAGATTAAGGGCCCCTGCAAGGGGTCCCTCCTTGCCCATGCGATGTCGGAGTCTCCGAGTTTGTCTGAGGCCTGATGCCCATGACGGCACGGACGTGAACGTTCTCAGCGGAAAGCTCGGACACGCACAGCGGCTGCTAGCTTTGGGGAGCCCTTAGTAGATAGGTCTCTCAATGTGGCATCCCTCTTTCAGAATCTTACAAATAATAGAAATAAATAAATAAATAAATATATATATATATGTATATATATACATATACATATACATATACATAGACATATACATATGTAAAAAGGCACATATATATATATATACACATACATATATATATATATATTATGATTACGGTACTGTTATTGTAAGGACCAGAAAAAGAACCCTAATTTCGAGAACCACCGAAGTACTGAAGCCCCCGAAGGTTGGAGCCCCATCGTCGGCGAGTTGATCGTAACAGGTGCCCCAGCCAAACGTGTCGCTTCTGGGTTTAGGGTTTAGGGTTTAGGGTTTAGGGTTTAGGGTTTAGGGTTTAGGGTTTAGAGTTTAGGGTTTAGGGTTTGGGTTTCGAGTTTAGGGTTTAATTCCACTACGGCTTCTTTCAAATCATTCGGCCAAGTGCTCCGAAGCCTCATCCGGCGAGTTTGTTTGACGGCCTCCATGATGCGACAGCGTGCTGCCGTGCAGAGCTCCACCTGCCGTTGAAACATGCATCGCAGCTGATTTGCTCCTTCAGCAGAAGGTTTTCTAATTTTAAATAGGGGCCTCAAGCTGTCCAAACGATGGGGATGGTAATAGTGCGGATAAGTCATATAAGTCCACAACATCGATGGTTGGCTATGGCAAAAGCTGTGCGAATAGTCAGCTCAGGCACCTACCCTCCGTTTTCTATGGTTTTTTCAACCTCACTCGCGCCTCCGCAAGCTCAACCGGCACAGGTCCCAAACGGGCCCGCTCTTATCCCAACACTCGCCGGCCAACGCCAAAACCCTGTGACCAGTCCAGAGGCTTTCGTGGGCCTTCAGGGGAGGCCTTCTTGAGAGAAACCCTAGGGTGCAAGAAGGACTTTCCGGAGCAGAAGTTCAAAGAGCATGTCTCAACAGGTCCCAGGGCGAAGATAAGCCTAACAGACCTCGTAGTGCTATGGCCTCATCTTCCAGCGGCTATGCCTTTGGGCCTCAGCCGACCGGCGATGCGACCCCAGCAAAGAGCTGGGATGACGAGAGGAGCTGCAGCGGAACTTATCCTTCAGGGCTTCAGCCTTCACCCCCCCCCACCTTAAAAAAACATATTCGTCTAGCTAGTCCCCTTCTGTCAGGGCCTTGGCAAGTCTACACCCAGAGACTCCAATACCCCTTAATTGAGGAATATTCCTTAAATTATAATAGTAATAGGGTTCTTTTTGGTTTAAGGAGTATTCCTTAATTGAGGGGTATTGGAGTCTCTGGGCAAGAGTCCTCCGACAGGATCCACCTGTCGATGGCGCAGCTCCAGAACGAACTTCTGCGCGTGGAAGATGCCTGCAGAGCTTGGCAGGACATCCTGCTGTGCCACGAGTTGGGTCGCACACCCTAAACCCTAAACCCTAAACTCTAAACCCTAAACCCGATTCAGGTTCAGATGCGTGCCTCTGGTGTGTCGACTTCCATCGAAGACTAGACGCTAGGTAGGCATTGGGACCTTCCAGATTTCCCGAGGCCACGGCCCATCTCTTTGGCCCGTGGAGCAGTATGTCCACCCTGCACACTGAACCCCCCCCACCAAAAAGCGATATAAATATAAATAAATAAATAAATATATATATAAATATATATATATATATGTATATATATATATATGTATGTATGTATGTATGTATGTATGTATGCATGCATGCATGCATGTATGTATGTATGTATGTATGTATGTATGTATGTATGCATTATATATATACATATCATCTCGACCATGTGAAGCGGAACTCCAATCCTCGGTTAACCAAGGGTTCAAGTAATTCCAGCACTGACAGATCTGAGCACGTGCAGGCGGAGGAAGCGGCTCCGTGGCAGCTGCCCATGAGGGGGGTGTACCTCCCGGCTCCCCGACCTGTTAAGGCCCTCTTTGAGGGAGGAAGCGCATGCTGGGGGCTTCGGGTCATTGAGACGTAGAGGGCTACATGGAGGTTCATGGGTAGCTATGACTATGTAGGGATATCATTGTGGTAAATGTACTTATCACCCTATTAAGGGTACTTCTAACCTTTCGCAGAGGAACCCATGAACCTCCAAGTAGGGGCTCCGGGCGGCTGGCGTCCGAAGTTGATGTAAAGAAGCCGAGCCTGGCAAGGCCCTCGTTGTGGAGAGTCTTGCCCAGCTTAGCGCGAGCGCGCGAGCGCGCGAGCGCGCGCGCGCGCGCGCGAGCATATGTTCGTAACCCCCAAAATGGTCACCCGAGCAACCTTCTGGCTTGTCCGAGCACGAGCGAGTAGAACCCTAAACCCTAAACCCTAAACCCTGACCCCAAAACCCAAAACCCTAAACCCTAAACCCTAAACCCTGAACCCTGAACCCTACACCCTAAACGCGCTTGCAGAGAAACCCTAAACCCCAAACTTCCCGATTCCCAACAGCGTTGAACATTTGAGCTGCCGAGGATGCCAGCCGCCGCCATCGCGGTGCGAGCCACTCGCCGAAGCCTAGGCCGGAATGCTTTAGGGGTTTAGGGGTTTAGGGTTTAGGGTTAGGGGTTTAGGGTTTAGGGGTTTAGGGGTTTAGGGGTTTTAGGGGTTTAGGGTTTAGGGTTAGGGGCGCTAGCTCTATGTTTTAAGGTTTGGGGTAGTTTCGGTTTTGTTGCAGGTTTGTTGTTGTGTGACTTCACACACACATACACATACACATACACATACACTTACACTTACACTTACACTTACTTTTGAGCACAGCGCCCATGACAATAGATTTTGGGCGCGCTGCTGTCTGGCTTTGGGTTTAGGTTTCAGGGCGGGACGAGGGTGGCTGCAAGAAGAGTTTGGGCCTAGGTAGGCCCATGGGCTCTTGGGATAATTTCTTGTTGCCCTTATTTGGTTTAAAGAGGATCCTATTTGTCACCCTAAACCCTAAACCTAACCCCTAAACTGGTTTTGAGGGCGATCCTAGGGTTGTCGGGTCCTTAAGGGAGGCACCTAAAGGGAAGCTTACGGAGGCTTGGAAGCCTTTAGGGTTTAGGGTTTAGGGTTTAGGGTTTGGGTTTAAGGTTTGGGTTTAGGGTTTAGGGTTTAGGGTGTAGGATTTAGGGTTTAGGGTTTAGCGGGGGTTACATCTACCCGCACTTGAAACCCCCGCTCCCTTAAGGGACCCGATCCCCAGACCCCTGGGAGGATCCAAGAAGTAGATCCCCCAGATGGTGCCCAAATCTACTCTTGGGTCATTCTTGGGAACCCTTGAGGGGATCTACTTTTTGGATCCTCCCAGTGTCTGGGAACCTGGGCAAGGTCAGGTCGGTCAAAAAAATCGACCTTGCCCAGTAAAACGGCGACCTTCCCCCCCTGCCCAGTAAAAATGCGACCTTGGACCCTGAAGCTCGCCGTTTTTACTGTCGCCGTTTTACTGGGCAACGTTGACCCTCGTGACTAGTGAATGCTTAGGCTTGAGATGCTGAACCCTAAACCCTAAACCCTAAACCCTCAACCCTCAACCCTCAACCCTAAACCCTAAACCCCAAACCCTAAACCCGGCCTAAACCCTAAACCCTAAACCCTGCCTCAAAGCCTGCTGTCATAGTAACTGAGCTGCGAGAGTTGGGGCCAGGCTGCGGCGCGGCGCCTGCAGCGTGGAGGAGGCGGTGTCGGCACGTCTGGTGGAGGCGGTCTCGGGTTTAGGGTTTAGGGTTTAGGATTTAGGGTTTAGGGTTTACGGTTTAGTATTTCGGATTTAGGGTTTAGAGGGATGTCGGGTGCATTTTTTCGTGCTGGAGTTTCGGGTCGAGGTTCTTTTCCGGTGTCTGGGGTTCGAGGTGTAGTTCAGTGGAGGGGGCGCGGCGGGGACGATTCATGAGGAAGGTTCAGGCATGAGTCCACGCAAGTGGGGCTTATAAGAAAGGTGACCACATCGGTATATGTGACATTTGCCCTATTTTCGGATTCTTGTGGCCCTAGCTCCTTATAAGAGCAGTTATACCCTACTTGTGATGGTGTATCCTTCTTATGACTACCAATGATCCTCCAAGAAGGGGGTTTCGAGTCGACAGTCTCGAGCGGCCCCCCTGAGAGGTCCGGGGCGAAAGTGGTCTGCGCGACCTCCTGGCCAAGCAGTGCCGGGCGACCGAAGTGGCCAAGGACCGGGGTGGGGGGGAGGTATCTGTGCCAGGTTCGGAGGGAGCTTCCTGAAAAGGAGTTCGGTGCTTTTTTTTTTTGCAGCCACCAACATCTCAAGAGCGTGCTGAGTGTTCTTCGAGCTCCGGAAGCCCAGTCTGATGGAGGCCATTCTATCCTAACTGCAATTTGAAAACCACCGTAGGCTGGCGCACAGCAAGCCCTTCTGGGGTTCACGTGCTCCCAGAAGGTAGGGAAGAATCCAACACTTTCCTCTCCATGCACGCTTGGAACTTACAACTGCACTTTATAACCATATTTTAGGGCACCTAAGGGGCTTTTAAGTGGGTTAGAAGTAGAGTTATAATTGGTGAATAAGTGCCCGAAACCCGAAACCCGAAACCCGAAACCCGAAACCCTAAACCCTAAACCCTAAACCCTAAACCCTAAACTTTAAACCCGAAACCCTAAACCCTAAACCCCAAACTTTAAACCCTAAACCCTAAACCCCAAACCCCAAACCCCAAACCCTAAACCCAAACCCCAAACCCTAGACCCAAAACCCCAAACCCAAAACCCCAAACCCCAAACCCCATGAACCTCCAAGCGGCTCCAGGCGAGGCAGCAGCAGCTGCGCGAGGAGCTGGATGCCGCGAGCCGTGACGCTGAGCAGCTCGCGGCCGCTTTGGCTTGGGGGGAATCCTGTTGGGGGGGGGGGGGGAGAAGGCGTGGCATTTGGGTTGGGTTGGGGTTTGGGTTGGGTTGGGTTTGAGGTTTGGTTTGGGGTTTGGGGTTTGGGGTTTCGGGTTTAGGGCTTTTTAGGGTTTAGGGTTTGTTAGGGTTTAGGGTTTAGGTAGGGTTTAGGGGACAATTTCCAGCAAAGAAGTCGCCCCCCCCCCCCGCCCGCGCCCTAAAAAAAGAACAAGCAACAAGAACAACAGGAACTAAAAAGCCCGATAAACTCCAAGTGCGACATGGGTCTAGAGGGCAACAAACACCCAAAGCCCCAAACCCCAAACCCCAACCCTCTGAGTGTCAGCAAACCCAAAACCCTAAAAATGGTTAAAGCCTTGATATCTAGAAGGGCCCATAAAAAACCCTTACAAACCCCAAGCCCTCAAAAATTGACCTTACAGTGACCTTACATCGCATCCTAATCCCTAGACCATAACCCTCAACCCTAAACCCTAAGCCACAACCCCTAAACCCTAAACCCTGGAGTGGTTCGTCCAGCTATGCGGGTGCCAAAAAACAAAAGAACTAAACCCTAAGCCCTAAACCCTGAACCCTAAACCCTAAACCCTGAACCCTGAACCCTAAACCCTAAACCCGAAAACCCCAAACCCTAAACCCTAAACCCCAAACCCTAAACCGCTAAACCCCTAAACCCCTAAACCCTAAACCCCAAACCCTAAACTTTACTAAGAACCCGAGGGGGAAGAGAGTGCTCAGGCCGGTCTCCCCGAGCTCCTCGAGAAGCGGAGGGCCGAGGTGGGGATCGGAATAGGGTTTAGGGTTTAGGGTTTAGGGTTTAGGGTTTAGGGTTTAGGGGTTTGAGGGTTAGGGGTTAGGGGTTTGAGGGTTTGAGGGTTTGAGGGTTTAGGGGTTGAGGGGTTTGAGGGTTTGAGGGTTTAGATTTAAGGGTTTCAGGGTTTTGGGGTTTAAGGGTCGCAGGGTTTTGGGGTCTAAGGGTTTTACGCTTCAGGGTTTTAGTTTTGTTTGTTTGTTTTTTTGTTTGTTTTTTTTTTTGGGGGGGGGGGGGGGGCGGGGGGGGTTAGGGTTTTGGGGTTTTGGGGTGTTGGGGTTTCAGGGTTTAGAGTTTGCGGTTTAAGGTTTTTCGGGTTTTTGGGTTTTGGTTTCTTCAACGTGCTGTGAGAAAGTAAGAAAGCCTGATGCAAAAGGGTACTGCGAATCCCACGTCGCTCCCCCCCAAACATCAAATTTTCCATATCTTTTGATTATACTTTGTGGGGTGCATTGCGACATACCAGACTGTTTTTTAAATGTTAAGGGGGCGGTGGTGATTGCGGAGCCTCAGAGGTTTGGAGTTTTGAGTTTAGAGGTTTTTGGGGTTTAGGGTTAAGGGTTTAGGGTTTAGAGGTTTCGTGTTTTTGGGTTTGCTCTGAAAGAATCTCAATGTCCGCTTCGCTTTGTTTTTTCTTGCGATTCTGGGTCGCACTACACGAGCTGATTCCCTGAACCGTGAATCCTAAACCCTAAACCCTAAACTCGAAACCCTAAACCCTAACCCTAAGCCCCAGACCCTAAACCCTAAACCCTAAACTCTAACCCTGAACCCTGAACCCTAAACCATAAACCATGATGGAACAATGGTTTCCTTGTCAGGCGACAGCCCCAAACCCAAACTCCAGGTCGAGCGCCGACGGCGACGTGCCACCGAGCTGCACCACGAGCGCTGGGCGGCCGAGGTTCCGTAGGGGAGGGTTGAGGGTTTAGGGTTAGGGTTTGGGTTTAGGGTTTAGGGTTTAGGGTTTAGGGTTTAGGGTTTAGGGTTTAGGGTTTAGGGTTTAGGGTCTAGTGTTTAGTGTTTAGGGTTTAGGGTCTAGGGTTTAGGGTTTAGGGTTTCAGGTTTAGGGTTTGCTGTAATAGGGCGTAGATGCTGTGAAGGTTAGGATGCTTCAGCGGCTCGAATGTCTCGCCAGGTGCGAAGAGCACCGATGGCCCGATTGTGGAGGGCCATCTAATACTTTCCTCCCACCCCACGCCGTCCACGGCGGCAAAACCACCCAAACCTGGTTTAGGGTTAAGGGTTTAGGGTTTAGGGTTTAGGGTTTAGGCCTAAACTCATGACAATCGCTTACTGTCAAAAAAACCTTTCCGTCACCGAGAAAAGGCAAGCCAGGTGAAAGGGCTTAGGGGGGACCAGGGGGGCCGGGGCAGGGGGGGTGGGGGGGCCAGAATCCCGATTAAGGACTGTTAGTATCAGGGGGGTATCCCGAGTTTGGGGTTACGGATTGTTCGGGTTCCTCGCACTGCTCGGGCTTTAGGCTGCCGTGCCGTGGCTTGGGAGTCTTTGGTGTCCCTTGGTTGGGCCACCCCCGTAGTCTAGCGAGCGCTGAAACAAAGAAATCAAGGGCCGCGGCTCAGCAAACCCACCCTAAACCCTAAACCCTAAACCCTAAACCCTAAACCCTAAACCCTAAACCCTAAACCCTAAACCCTAAACCCTAAACCCTAAACCCTAAACCCTAAACCCTAAACCCTAAACCCTAAACCCTAAACCCTAAACGAAGGGAACAACCAAAATGAACACTCAAGATCACAGGCTCTACAGTCCCAAGACTCCCGGAGCCCAACAGGAGGAACCCGAAGCCTAAAAGAAGGCACCAGCCCCAAGAGCCCTCAGAGTGCAGCAGACTCTGAACTTAAGGTTCATAATGTAGGGTTCAGGGTTCAGGGTTTAGGGTGTAGGGGTTCGGGTTTAGGGTTTAGGGTTTAGGGTTTAGGGTTTAGGGTTTAGGGTTTAGGGTTTAGGGTTTAGGGTTTAGGGTTTAGGGTTTAGGGTTGTAGGGTTTAGGGTTTAGGGTCAAGCAAGAGGGTGTAGGGGCTCGCAAAAACACCCCTCAGGCCTGCGTCGAGCGGCTCGAGGACGCCCTGCGTTGTCTGGGTTTTGGAAGTTGAGCCCGAAACCCTAAACCCTAAACCCTAAACCCTAAACCCTAAACCCTAAAACCCTAAAACCCTAAAACCCTAAAGCCCTAAAGCCCTAAAACCCTAAAACCCTAAAACCCTAAAACCCTAAAACCCTAAAACCCTAAAACCCTAAAACCCTAAAACCCTAAAACCCTAAAACCCTAAACCCTGCCCCAGCCACATTCTTTTGGAGGAGGAGCTCAGCGAGGTGGAGGCCCAGGCTTTGCATCTCCAGAGTGGAGCCTGGGTTTAGGGTTTAGGGTTTAGGGTTTAGGGTTTAGGGTTTAGGGTTTTAGGGTTTAGGGTTGTAGGGTTTAGGGTAGTAGGGTTGTAGGGTTTTAGGGTTTTAGGGTTTTAGGGTTTTAGGGTTTTAGGGTTTTAGGGCTTAGGGCTTAGGGCTTAGGGTTTTAGAAAAGGGTTTTGGGGGGTGGAATCGGTGCAGACCAGATGGAAAAGGGTTTAAGGGGTTTAGGGTTTCTGTATTAAGACTCCTCAGAGCTCTGGATGCAAAGGGTTTCTTAATGATTCCTATTTGGGATGTTCCCCCTTGTACTAACAGCTCCTTTATAGGGATTACAATAGGGGGTACTATAATCCCAATTCAATGCTCCCCCAAATTCCTAGTCTAATTGTTGTCATTTTAGCTGCTGCTGCTGCTGCTGCTATGATTGCAGGAGATGCTTGGGTAGTACACTTTGTGCTTTAGGGGCATGGCTCAGGGTAGTGCGAAAGATCTCACGCGCCTCGCTTAGCGGCCACCGCCCGAAACCCAAAAACCCCCAAAAAGCCCCCAAAAACCCTAGAAGCCCCTGCTTTGTGGAACTGAGGAGTGGAGCTCTGGGCTGAGAGGCAGACCGGCAAGAAGGCCCTGGCTGGGTTGTTCGGGTTCTGAATGGTTCTGAGGGCTCTAGGGTCTAGGGTTCGTTTTAGGTTTTTTTCAAGGTTTAGGGTTTAGGGTTTAGGGTTTAGGGTTTAGGGTTTAGGGTTTAGGGTTTAGGGTTTAGGGTTTAGTGTTTAGGACCCAACATATTCCATGTCGGCTGTTTTCAGAAAGGGGCCGCTGGGTTCATCCTTAGGCCACCTCTCAGAAGCCGTCCGCAATCGCGGACAAGGAGCTTAGGGGCCCGAATTTCTAGGCGGCGACAGAGCCAGACCTTCACGCCTGAGAGAAGCCAGCACCCTTGAAGCCCTAGCCCAAAATCCCAAACCCCAACGCCCCAAACCCCAAACCCTAAACCTGAACCCCAAAAAGCCCCAAAACCCCCAAAACCCTCAAAAACCCCAACGCCTCTCCGCTTTCCTTGGAGCAGGGTTTGGGTCAACTCGGGGTTGAGCCCTAAACCCTAAACCCTAAACCCTAAACCCTAAACCCTAAACCCTAAACCCTAAACCCTAAACCCTAAACCCTAAACCCTAAACCCTAAACCCTAAACCCTAAACCCTAAGCATCCTGCAGGTTCATGGGTATTACTTATATTGCCTGGTGGTCTCTTTTAAGTCGGGTTTCTGTTTTGTAGGGGGTTCTTATCAGGGGTATCCAAGGGCTATGTTGAGGTAGAAGGGTAACAGATAAGGAGTCCACCGGCCTTGAAAAGGTATTTTTCCAGTGTAGGGTTTAGGGGTTGGGGTTTAGGGCGTAGGGCGTAGGGTTTAGCTTTAGGGATTATAGGGTTTATGGGGTTTACAGGGTTCATAGGGTTTATAGGGTTTACAGGGTTTATACGGTTTATAGGGTTTATCGGGTTTATCGGGTTATAGGGTTTAGTGTAGCTCTGGCTACAAGTGAGTATGGCCCCTATTTTGGTGGAATTTGTGTCCATCATCCCTCAAGTAGGACACCCAGTCCTGAATAGGGATTCGAATAGGGGGTACTAGAATCCCTCTTAAGGACTGCTGGGGTTTAGGGTTTCGCGTTTTCGTGCAAGGGGGAACATCCCACAGCACCCCCAAATCTCGAGGCGCAGCTGGGGGAAGTCCAGCAGGAACTCGAGTCCATGGAAGCCAGGCGCTCCAAAGCCAAGGCGCGCCCGCGCGGGAGTGGAAGGTTGAGGGTTTAGGGTTCATGGTCTACTAAGCCCCATAGACCCTAAACCCTAAGTTCAAGAGGTTCGTCCAGCTATGTGGGTACCAAACAACCTGAAATTTAATGTTGACTTCGCATTAATAAACCCCCCCCCCTTCATTGATCAATCTTTTCGGCCAGGGCCTCCTCAATAATATCCGCCTAAATCCTGGTAGGTCTAGCTGTCCCGGTGCCACCACAGTGGGCTAAGTGAGCCTCTACTGCGAGCTTCTGGGGGATCACTTTTAGAAGAATATTCCGGGCTGGATTTTATAATTGTGGCGGGCTACATTATTGTGTTCTGGCAGCTGGATTTTATAATTGCGGCGGGAATTCCTAATGTGAAGTCAACATTATGGGGTTTGGGGTTTGGGATGTCTCAGAGCCTTTTTGGGAGGTTGGGGTTGGAGAGCCCTCTGGGAAACACAGCCAGGAGCTTTCGGGTTCGGATTTCAGGGTTGAAGGAGGGGGAACTCACAGCTGAAAGGCTGGAAACTTTCAGGGTTGCATGATCTTCGGTTTTGGGAGGATTGCGGAGGGCGAGCAGAAGCTGCATTTTGAGAGAGAATGTTGCAAGAGGCGTGGCTTCAAGAGATCTACCAGGGCCACCTGCATCCGCAGAGCATCGAGAAAACGCGGCACCTGCGTGGGCACCACATCCCCAGCCTGGAGCTCCAGTCAGCCCAGCTTGCGCGGCAACTCGATGGGTCTCTGTGTGAAGGTTCAGGGTTCAGGGTTTAGGGTTTGGGGTTTAGGGTTTAGGGTTTAGGGTTTAGGGTTTCGGGTTTAGAGGAGTTTGAGCAGTAGTCAGAAAGGTACAGTACCCTGTAGAAACCTTTAGAGGGGTAATAGGGGGACTTCCATGGGCTTTCTGTACCGAATTATCCCTAAACCCGAAACTCCCAACCCTAAACCGTAAACCCTAAACCCTAAACCCTAAACTCAGAGCTTAGGCCGCCTCCCTACAGTGGGGAGGAGGCGGCGCTTAAGCCCCTCGACCTACCGGGACCCATTCTCCTCGGGACCAGTACTGGTCCCGTAAAGTAACCTTGACCCTGGGCGTGGCTGGCATTTTTGGGTGCAGAGTTGCCGGGGACCAGGGGGCCTCTGGCCTGTCCCATCCGTGACGGAAGGAAGAAGTTTGTTGTAAGTAAGCAATTGACTTGAGGTTAGGCGTACACCCTAAAGGAATAGATTTGGGTGGCTTTGCCGCCTCGGACGGTGTGGGGTGGCAGAAATGGGTTAGATGGCCCTCCGCAATCGGACCGCCTCACGAAGCTTTCGAGCTTGTTCCAAAGCCTAACCTTCACAGCATCTACACCCAATTACAGCAAACCCTAAACCCTTAAACCCTAAACCCTAAACCCTAAACCCTAAACCCTAAACCCGAAACCCCAAGGCAACTGGAGGAGAGGAAGGAGAGCTACGAGGCGCAGTGCCTGGCGCAGCAGGTCGAGGTGGACACGCTGCTTTGCTGGTTAGTAAGGGTATATATAGAGGGCCCTATAGAATCCCTTAAAGGGTATATACAGAACCCTATAGAATCCCTTTAAGGGTATATATATATATATATATGCTACCCCCCCCCCAGCGACCTACCCTTTTTAGGCCTTTTTAGGCCTTTTTAACAAAAAACAACAAACAAGGCCCAAAAGTCGCGTAGTTAATCACCGGGTAATGAAGGACAGTTACTGGGACACCCACCTCGCAGACCCCGATAAGCCAGCATTGGAAGAATCTACATGTTGAATCTGAAGCGGACAATGCTGTTTTTAGATGTTTAGATCAGTTTTTTTCTGTGCAAATTGTGCGTTTTAAAGGGCAATTAATGTTTTGTTGAGCAACTAGTTTATTTATACAATTGTGTTTGTACGAGGCAAAGTATTAATCAAATAGTGAAACATTTTTTCTTAAATACCATTTAAAGGAGCATACTCAACCAAGATACGAAATAGACACCATTCTCAACTAAAATATGGCAAAGTGTGGGTTTAAAGTGCAAATACTGTATTTATACAATTGTGCTTGTACTAGGCAAAGTATGCTCTCTGAAAAGTCCACTGAAATACCTTATGTTTACATATTCATGAATCGTTTTATTTTTGTACTCAACCAAAATACGAAAGAAGCACCATATTCAACCAAAATATGGCAAAGTGTGGTTTAAAGGGCAAATAGTGCTTTGTTGAGCAACTAATGCATTGAAACAGTTGTGTTTATACCAGGCAAAGTATTATTGAAATACTATCTGCAAAGTCAAATGAAACACCTTATGTTTACATATTCATGAAACAATTTTTTTTGAAGTATTCATTCTATGCGAATTTAACTACTAGAGGAATTCTTAAGCAAATAGCCCAATTTGACTCAAGTGAATATTATTTAAAGGACCATACTCAACCAATACGAAATAAACACTTGCGGAAATGGAAACGGTTCTACCTACATAACAATGAGACAAAGATTGCTGAAGTATTCACTAAAGACCACTTGTATACTATGTCTGAAAAGCACAATTTGCATAAGCAAGCTTTAAAATGCACAATAATGGAAATCGGTTCTACTTACATAACGATGAAACAAAGATGTCTGAAGTATTCAATAAAGACCACATATTTCCTATGCTTGAAAAACACAACTTGCACAATCAGGCTTAAAAAATGCACAAGAATCCTAGAAAAGTACTTAGTGAAGGCCATACCACAAGCAAATTCACAAATACGTAAAAACATCCAAAAGCGCAAGCTTTTCAGGAGAATCTCTGGTGAAGTTTGGATTATAGGGTTTTGGGGTATCCCTGGACGAGTAGGAGTCACTTTTTAAGCAAACAGTTCTAAGCAATAAATGCTTTTTCTCAAGACAAGTATTGCAAATGCTGCTTCTAGATAATTAATCGCATTTACCAGGCAAATATGATCCCTGCGAATTTAGCTACCAGAGCACCAAGTAATGGCTGAATAAGGTCTACTACACTTGAGTACAACCAAAAGATGCACTAAACACTAGCGGCTCTACTTACATACGAAACAAAAAGTTCTGAAGCACTAGAAAGACCACTTGTATACTATTTTTGAAAAGCACAATTAGCATAAGCACACTTAAAAATGCGTAGTTGTTGCCTCGTGACCGTGAAGGCGAACCAAAAAGCCAAAATACCAAAACCAAAAAACCAAAAATACCAAAACCAAAAAAACCAAAAAAACCAAAAATACCAAAAAAACCAATTTTCTGGGACTCTTGGAGAAGCCTCATAGGGATTTCCTGAGAGTCCCGGAAAATTGTTTTTTTTTTTTTTTGTATTTTTGTTTTTTTTGGTTTTGGTTTTTTTGGTTTTTTTGGTTTTGGTTTTTTTGGTTTTTTTGGTTTTGGTTTTTTGGTTTTTTTGGTTTTGGTATTTTTGGTTTTTCTACTGTCCCGTGTATGCGATTTTAGTTGTAGTTTAGTCTACGCCCTAGGAAATACGCTATATTGCACACCGAGTTTGCTTGCAGTGCAGCTGTGACTTGAGACAAGGCGAAAAAGGGTAGGTCACTGGGGGGGGGGTACCATATATATGTATATAGAGGGCCCTGTAGAATCCCTTAAAGGGTATATATAGAACTCTATAGAACCCCTTTAAGGGTATATCTAGAGGGCCCGGTAGAATCCCTTAAAGGGTAAATATAGAACACTATGGAATCCGTTTAAGGGTATATCCCTCATTCCCTGCAACACTAAGGCTGAGGCGGAGCCTGGCACTGCGCACCCAGCGACTCCGGGCCAAAGAGCAGGAGCGAAGCGCAGCCAAGAGTCATGAGAAAGTTTATAGGGTTTAGGGTTTAGGGTTTTGGGGTTCGGGTTTTGGGGTTTAGGGTTTAGGATTTAGGGTTTAGGGTTTAGGGTTCCGGGATGATGTTTGCAGCCCTGCAGCCGTACCTGCAGGAGAGTGCGTGGCTCCAGTGGCGTGCTGACGCCCTCGAGCAGGAGTTGGCGCACCTCCAGAGCAGGCATCTATCTCCCCCTTGGGGGTTATTTTTTAAGTTTTTATATAAAACCCCAGAGGACATTAAACATATTCTTCTTGTTTTTGTTTACATAAAAAACCCAAGAGGATATTGAACATATTAAATTATCTGTTTTTGTTTGTATAAAACCCAAGAGGACATTAAACATACTATTTTCATTTCGGTTCTTGTTTATAAAAAACCCAAGAGGATAGTAAACATATTGTTTTCGTTAAGGGTTCTAAGGGGAGTTAGAAGGCATGCTGGTGCACATGCCGCTCTTCATTCGGCGCATCCGCCTCCTGGCGGCTGGGCGACCTCGGCTAATGCAACCCCAACAGAAAACCTGACGAGCTCTGCAGGGTTTAGGGTTTAGGGTTTAGGGTTTAGGGTTTAGGGTTTAGGGTTTAGGGTTTAGGGTCTAGGGTTTAGGGTTTAGGGTTTAGGGTTTAGGGTTTAGCTGCACGCACTCCAATATGCGAGTTATCCCAGCATCTTCGCGCTGAAACCGCGGCTGTTTGTGCCCAAGTCATAGATGTAGTTCGCACTGAGCACGAAAGTATGCATGCATGCGGGTCCTGCACATCCACAACAGTGGCGGGCTGCTTGCGCCTGCCAACCCTGGGGTCTCCAGACTTGTGCCTCTTAAGCCGTAGTTTCGAAGAAGGTGCAGGGTACCAAGTCCCGCTAAACCCTACACCCTAAACCCTAAACCCTAAACTCTAAACCCTAAACCCTAAACCCTAAACCCCACACCCCACACCCCACATCCGAAAAGCCGCGCGCGCGCTCCATCAGCGCTGCATATGCGGGCGTGGCCATGTCGAAGCGCATCAGCTTTGAGGCCGATGCCGAGGCTCCTGGGGAAGGGTTTCCGCCAGGATCCGCAAGGAAGGCTGTAAGTTTCCGAGTGGGTTTCTTGGATTCTTGAGGTAAGCCCTATAAGCCCTATAAACCCTAAACCCTAAAAACCCTATAACCCTATAACCCTATAAACCCTAAACCCTAAATCCCAAACTCCCACAAAATCCGATCTGGTTTTCAGTCATCTCTGGGACTTCAAAAGTTTAAGGGGATGGCAGGTAGGACCTCGTCTGCCAGGACAAAGAGGCAGGGCCGCGGAAGACCGAGTTCTTCGCCGCGCGGCGCACGCTGCCGTGCCGCGACATCTACTGAAGCCTTAGCCTAGGTCTCCAAACAACCTTTGATCTAGGTAGGAATCTTATCCTACTTGGATATGTATGTTTATATACGTGTGTGCATCTGTCGATTTGCTTACTGTATCTGTCTATCTACATGAATGAAAAAGTTCATACGTATTTCAGACTCTCTCTCTCTCTCTCGCTGTTTCTCCCTCCCTCCCTGTCTCTCTCTCTCTCTTTCTCTCTGTCTGTCTCTCTCTCCCATGCCTTCTGTCGTTTTTGCCAAGCGTTGAATGAGGATTGGCCAACGTGGATACATTAGAACAGGCGTTTTTGGCTGGACCCTGGACTCTGTACCTTGAACCCTAACCGCCACATCCTACAAAAAGCAGGACGTGGGCCCAACAATCCAGAGATGCTTCCTGGGTTTTAGGGTTTAAAGGTTTAGGGTTCACACGTTGCTCTAGTTATAGAGACCAAACACCGTAGGGTTCAGGGTTTAGGGTTTAGGGTTTAGGGTTTAGGGTTTAGGGTTTAGGGTTTAGGGCGGAGGGTTGCTGGTGATGTCATTGAGGTCAAATGCCCGCCCTCGGGCCTCGATGCTTCAAGTCAAGGCACCAGAAGGCCTTGGTGGGCGGGTGCGAGAGTTTTAGCCTTTATAGTGATGCAAAAAAGGGTTTAATTAATTAGGGTTTAGGGTTTAGGATCCAGGGGTTTAGGGTTGATGCAAAAAAGGGGTTTAATTCGGGTTTAGGGTTTAGGATTAGGGTTTAGGGTTTAGGATCCAGGGTTTAGGGCTAAGAGGTTATGAGGTCTAGGGGACAGAGTTGGGCGGCCAGGGACATTCGGGGGATCGCTACTATGGGACTCGGCTGGATGGTCATGGCGCTGTTGGCCAAGTGCCTCAAACGGAGTAGCTGAGGGGCAAATATCATTGAGGTCACTGTGCGCTGCCGACTGTGGAGCTAAACCGAATCCGACAACATACTGTACAAGTCACGTGTGGGATGCATATATGATGCCCTCACCTGCTGTTTAGGACACTGCAAGCATTGCACATCAACAGGTGGACGTGGTAACGGGGTGCAGCTACTCTTTGGAACCTCCCCCCCCGCCCCCGCTTCCGCACATCGGAAATGTCGACGCTTCGCATGTTGACTTGCGTGGAGGCAAAAGAGGATCTGCCAGAACCAGCTTTGATGCAACCACTGCCCATGCCCTAGACAGATATGGACCATGGGATCGTTCAATTCTTCTGGATGTTGTTGTCTCTTTGCTCGCCCTCCTAGTGATAGTCTGGTAAAGCAAACGCTCAGCTGTCTAACGACATGCAACGGTAGAGACCCGTATTCCTAACCTTAAGCCCTAATTTGGCAACACAAGCCTTGGGTTTCGTGATGGTTGAACCCTAAATCCTAAACCCTAAACCCTAAACCCTACACCCTAAACCCTAAACCCTAAACCCTAAACGAGACTTCATGAAGTCCCGTTCCCTGCGGTTAGAGAGATGGAGTTGCGGGCATTTTGTGCTTGGCCTTGTTTTCTGGTCATAGTCCGGTTCGTGCAGCTAGCTCCCCAAGCCGCAGACCCCAGACTTGAGCCTGCAAATGCCGCAACTAGATCCTGGATGGCATCCATGGAAAATAACGCCGAGTTCGGGTTTAGGGTTTAGGGTTTAGGGTTTAGGGTTTAGGGTTTAGGGTTTAGGGTTTAGGGTTTAGGGTTTAGGGTTTAGGGTTTAGGGTTTAGGGTTTAGGGTTTAGGGTCGATGGAGGGGTTTCATCCCGAAGTCCCTAAAAACGAAAATGTCCAGAAACCTTGAAATTCCTGTCAAATTGCACCAGACTCAGCCCTAAACCCTAAACCCTAAACCCTAAACCCTAAACCCTAAACCCTAAACCCTAAACCCTAAACCCTAAACCCTAAACCCCAAACCCTGAACCCTAAACCCTAAAGCCTAAACCCTAAACCCTAAACCCTAAATCCTAAACCCTAAACCCTAAACCCTAAACCCTACTAAGAACCAGGGGCCTGAACCAGCACCCAGGCGGGCTCGTCGGAGGCCATGTTCGGCGCGCTAAGGAGCGGATTTTTTTTCTTGGGGGGAGGAGGGGTTTAGGGTTTAGGGTTTAGGGTTTAGGGTTAAGGGTTTAGGGTCTAGGGTCTAGGGTTTAGGGTAACCGTTCGGGGAACCCTCCAACTCCGGGCGAAGTGGCAAGCCTGTTGCAAAAGGGTATAGGGTTTAGCTTCCTGTATGGGCAGTGAAACTTTGTCTGGGTGCGCGTCCTCTTCTATACGCGTGAACCTTCAAATAGTGCCCTGGGGCCGCCTAGTGAAAGGGGTACAAGGAGGGACCCCGAGAAGGGACCCAAAATCTTATTCCCCTATATGCCTTGGGATGTTCGCCCTTATACTAACTGTCCTTCATGGGGATTATTGTACCTACCCTATGAAGGACTGTTAGTATAAGGGGGAACATCCCAACAAATAACCCCTATATAGTAGCCACTAAATAACCCCTAAGTAAGCCCTAAGGTCCTTTGAAAGGGTCCCTTCTTTAGTGCCCTCCTTTAGTGCCCTAAGTCGCCCGTAAATAAGCCCTAGGGTCCTTTATAAGAATCCCTCCTTTAGTGCCCTAAGTGGCCCCTACATAAGCCCCAAGTTCCTCAAATAAGGATCGTATTCCCCTACATAGGCCCTATATATATATATATATATATATATATATACATATCGTCCCTATATACCTAATATTAGCGCCTAAATAGCTCCTTTAGAAGGGTCCCTCCTTTAGTGCCCCGGGGGCCCCTCGTGGCGAAGGCGGGGGCAAGCTGTCAACGTCGGCATCTCGTCGATCATGATCGAGCAGGACCTCGTCGAGGCTCCTGGCCAATACGAAGTTATAAGGGGGGCTTGTTGGGGTTTAGAGGGTTAAGGGTTTAGGGTCCATAGGGTTTAGGGTCAATACGAAGTTATAAGGGGGGGGGGGGGCTTGTTGTTAAGGGTTTAGGTTAAGGGTTTAGGGTTTCGGGTCTATAGGGTTTAGGGTTTAGGGTTTAGGGCTTAGGGTTTAGAGGTTTGGGATGTTCCCCCTTATGCTAACAGTCCTTAATAGGGACTTATGGCACCCTTTGTATAATCCTTTTTTAAGAACTGTTAGTATAAAGGGGACATCCCAAAGTAGTCCGAATGTTTGGAGGCTTGCGGCCTCTTTTGCAAGGTTTTTTTGCTGCGTAGTTAATGAGAAGGCCAATCAACCCCCCCCCCCCCCCCACCTCGAAAGGTGGCACCACCCATGAGTAGATATGAGAAGAGCTCGCATTTTGTTGTTCGGACCAGCTGGTAAACGAAATGAGACGTATGCTGTTTGTACACAGCCAGCTCTTCGGCATGTTTACGGCTTAGGGTTTAGGGTTTAGGGTTTGGGGTTTAGGGTTTGGGGTTTAGGGTTTAAAGACCCAAGAATTTAGGGTTTAGGGTTCGGGGCTTAGGGCCTAGGGGACCAAAGGGTTTAGGGGTTGCAAGGGGGCTAAGGGTATAAGGGTTGAAAAGGGCCCCTGGGAAGCAACCCCCGGTGCTAGAGTTTAGGGACCCAAGGGTTCAGGGTTTAGGGTTTAGGGTTTAGGGTTTAGGGTTTAGGGTTTAGGGTTTGGGGTTTGGGTTCAGGGTTCAGGGTTCAGGGTTCAGGGTTCAGGGTTTAGGGTTTAGGGTTTAGGGTTTAGGGTTTGGGGTTTAGGGTTTAGGGTTCAGGGTTCAGGGGTTAGGGGGTTAGAGTTTAGGGTTTAAGGGGTCCCTGAAGCAGCCTCAGGTGCCCATGTTCAGGAACTGCAGTGCCAGCTTCATCAGCCGCCTCGCGCAGGCCGCCGCGGGCAAGCTTTTGCAATTTGTTTGCAGGGGTTTAGGGTTTAGGGTTTCGGGTTTAGGGTTTAGGGTTCAGGGTTTAGGGTTTCGGGTTTAGAGTTTAGGCCTTTTGCGCCGCAGTTCTGCTTTCTGCACCGCCTGTTCGCCTTTTTCGGTGAAGTTCCAGGACGCCTCGGAAACAACACGAGCGTTTGGTGTCGGGCAGGTCGTTCACGAGGCCGGCTTGGCATCCCAACCATGCCTGTGCAATGTCCCTGACCACTTCGCTCATTGCTTTTAATTGCTTGTGTGAGGTGAACGTATTGCTGTGAACAGCGAGAAGCCAGTAGAGTATATGGTATCCCAGGGTAGGTGAGTTCGTCCAGAACAAGCTTGCAGGTGGGTGATGCGGGCAAGAGCATGGTTCTTGTTCTTCGCGGGAGCCTGGTGGTGAAGAAGAAGGCCGCTCGGCCTAGTGGCAAATGCGGATTTGGCGGAGGATTCATGCTCAAGATCGTGTCTACTTGTTGTGTGGTGCAGTTTTAGGGCATCCTAGTGCCCTTGTGGCCGAGGGGGAGGAACTGCTGTGGCTTGGCTGCACCCGCACCCTGTTTTGGAGTGGGGGTTAGTCCCACACGCTGTGAACGTAGGGGCGCTTTGGCATCCTTAGTGATGCTTGCCGCTGCTGCCCAGCTCCTCACACCAAACTGCTTGCCCTAGACCAAAGCCTGGCGTGTCTGCTCTGACGACAGGGCTCCAACGTGTCTACTTGGAGGTTTATAAGTAGAATAGAATTACGGTAACTTTTCTTATAACCCTATTTCAGGTACTTCTATCCTTACTTATAACAACCCATGAACCTCCAAGTGGAGATCCCCTCAACAGCCTTGTAAACCATACGTAGGGCCTAACCCGCACACATAGAGATTGCGACGAAGCCTCCTTCATGGCTGCCCTTGCCTTGAAGTCCCGTTATACCACCTTTAAGGGTTAGGGTTTAGGGTTCAGGGTTTAGGGCTTAGGATTTAGGATTTCGGGTTTAGGGTGTAGGGCAATATTCTTCGTACATGTGTGTATGTATACACAGAGCGAGGGAGTTCCAGAATCCACTCGAAGAAGTGTAAATGAGTATGCCAGCAGCACCTTGAGGGATGCCTTGGAGGCAGGCGAGCATTGAACCTCCCGGAAGTAGTTCGAGATACAGGTAGAGTAAGCTATGAAGATCCATCCCGCTGGCTCCGGACGGCATCCCGCCTCAGGGCGTCATGACAGAGGTTCTACTCAGTAGGTGGCACCCGGAGTGCCAGCTGGCCTAAAGTGTGAGGTTTGACGAGGAGAGCGGATATTAGGTACCTCACGCCCTCGTTCCCCCTAAGCCTTAAACCCTAAACCCTAAACCCTAAACCCGAAACCCGATTCAGCGCGCACGCATGAAGGCAGCTGGAGCAGCGGTCGCATTATGGGGAGACCATGCTCCTGAGTCTCGAGCAGGTGCTGTCAGTGTGGGAGACTGGCGCCCCCACTGTGACTTCCCGACCAGGATCTTTTAAGAACGTGATTTAGTTGAAGCTCCATAGCAACAACCCCAGCTTTGTGTTGCAGTGAAGTCGAAGGCTGTAGGACACCCGCGTGTCTCTACCCTTGGGCGCAGAATGCATCTTTGGTGCTCCGCACGTCGGTGAGCTTGTCCACAAGAAGCCCTACGCCCCATAACCCTAAACCCGAAACACTAAACCATAAACCCTGGACCCTACACCCCATACATTTGGGCGGCATGGACCCCCGTAGGCCCCGACATGTACCGGACACTGGGCACAGTGCTGCCAGACCCAGGAAGAGCTTCCCACAATTGAAGGTTCGTGGGTATTTTGGGTTGCGGCTTTAAGGGTTCTTGCCCTTTTATTAGTATCAGTACCAGTATTATTTAGTATTTTTGTTATTAGTATTCGTATTCGTATTAGTATTAATATGCGTATTGGTATTAGCACGAGTATTCGTATGAGTACTAGTATTAGTTAGTATTATTATCATTCTTATCGTCATGCTTATATAGTCCAGTTATCACCTATAAACCTATAACTTCTGATGAAACTTTAAGTCGCAATGCCCCTCGGAAAGGTCTGGCGAGTTTCTCTGATTGCATCTGCTTCCAGTGGCGCTTGCTGCAACGAGTGTTCCACCCGTAGCTGGAGTTGTTCGAAACTGGGCCCCCCCAACAGAGGATTTCTGAGAGAGGGTTGACAATGAGTTCACTGTTTAGGGGGCAATTGAGTATTTAGGGGTTGGGGGTGGGAATTCCACATGAACACACAACACCATTAAACCTTTCGCCCTAGATCCTAGACCGCCTCCCCAGACATATGGGGTCTACGAAAATCGGGGGCCCCTAATGTAGACCCCCCAGATAGTAGGATCCCGGATCCCCTTATCCCCAACAAGGTGCCCCTAATTTCGGAAACCTCCCAAAACTCTTCGGAGGTATCCCTAAACCCTAAACCCTAAAACTCAAATCCCCTTTAGGGGACCCCAAATATTCCTTAATTATAATAAGGACCCCCAAAAAAGGTACCCCTACTTTCGTAAACCCCCCACCTAAACCCTAAACCCTAAACCCTAAACCCTGAACCCTGAACCCTGAACCCTCAACCCTCAACCCTAAACCCTAGGCCCGAAATCCCCTTAAAGGGACCCCCCTAAACCCCCACAACACCGAAAGCCCTCCATATTCTGAGGCATGGTCTGTGAGATTCGCCGCGAGTCCTTTCGGCGGCTGCTTGAGGCGGGAGGGCAGCGGGGAGCGCAGGGAGGAAGGACGTTGGCTTTGGGATCATGGGTTCCAGGGTTTTAGGGTTTCGGGTTTCGGGTTTAGGGTTTCGGGTTAAGGGTTGAGGACTACCCCTCCTGGGTTCCCCCCTTAAATCACTTAAAATAGGCTAAACAGCTTTCATGAGGGCGGTAGTGGGGGAACCCATGACAGTGGTTCAAACCCCACATTGCCGGACCCTGAACTGCAGAAGCGAAACACGTGGGGGTTTCCGAAGTTACGGGGCGTACCTTACTGGGGTCCTGATCAAAAGGGGATCCTACTATTTGGGGGTCTGTATTGAGGGTCTATATTGGGGGTCCCTTATTTTCGTAAACTCTCAGGTGGGCTGTATGTACCCCCGGATGCCTGGCACAGGACTTCCCGGCCGAAGCGCAACAGTATGAGAACCTCGGCGTTGCATCGTGACTTTGGGTAAACCCTAAACCCTAAACCCTAAACCCTAAACCCTAAACCCTAAACCCTAAACCCTAAACCCTAAACCCTAAACCCTAAACCCTAAACCCTAAACCCTAAACCCTGAACCCTAGACCCTAAACCCTAAACCCTCAACCCTCAACCCTCAACCCTCAACCCTCAACCCTAAACCCTAAACCCTAAACACATGTTGAGACTCAAGGGTGTTCGGGTTGAGGCCTCTTTTTTGCACGTTTGGACTTCTCAGTTGTGCGGGCGCTCTTTTGAAAGGCTCCGTCCAGGTTTAAGAGTGAGCGAGAGGGTAACGATGCCCACTTTGAGGGAGTTCGTTTTGTTATTATTGTTATGATTATTAGTATTCTTACTACTATGATTATTATTATCATGATGATTTTATTACTATTCTTCTTCGTATTATTATTACCCACATGTGCCCTCACAACCTAAGGATGTTCTTCGACATCGCCATGGACCAGCTGTTCTCAGGGACGCGGACGCACACATGCGACATCTTCACAGGGCTCTCGCAAAAAATGCGCCTCAGCTGTTGTGTGGGCTCTGCTTGATCGCGTGAGAGATCGCCCCCCCCCCCCCCCCCCCCCCCCCGCTGGTGCCTGAAATTTGAGACAGCGCAGTGTGCCTGTTGCCTTCACCGCTCCAAACGTGTCCACGCAAGGCGACCCTAAACCCTAAGCCCTAAACCCTAATTAAACCCTAGACCCTAAACCCTAAATCCTGCTTGGCATGACAACTTGTGTGTTCCATTGGAACTCAAGTGTCCCAGCAGAGCCCGCACCGAAAGGTTACGTTTAGTTCTTCAAGCTAAGCTGGTGCACCAGATGTCACGTTTACTCTACGAATAGTATTTCCTTACAGTCCCTTTTTTAATTATGCCATAATAACCCCCAAACCCTAAACCCTAAACCCTAAACCCTAAAACCCTAATACTCTAATTATTCAGGCCCCTATCGCCTCCTTGAGGCTGGAAGCCTTCGATGAGCACATGCTGCGGCGGGTCTACTTCCCGGGCGAGATTGCTTCTTCGCCTTGCACGGGGGGCGTAGTCCCGGTCACCAGCTTCGTGCAAGCCTAAACCCCCCCTAAACCCTAAACCCTAAACCCTAAACCCTAAACGCTAAACCCTAAACCCTAAACCCTAAATTTTCCTAAGCCCTATTAATAGGCCGTGTCCTGTCGCCCAGGTTCTGCATGATGGTCCACAGAGCAAGGAGCTGGTACTCCTGCAGGACGGCATGGCTGCTGTGGAAATCGTGGCTTGCCCGCACCTCCAGACGCACGTTTGACTGCACAGAGCGCCGCGGCATCGCGGGGCGGAAGGTTGGCTTATCATCTTTTGCAGTGACTCGGGGAGCCACCGTCTACCTGGCCTCAAGATCTTAGGAACCCGAAAACGAAAACCTTCAATCTCAACTCAGACGCCACCCCCTCCCACGATCCCCAACCGCCTGCCCTGTACAGCAAGGCGGGCCGCACGGTGCGCACGGAAACCCGGGGCAAGAAGGCCTTTCGTTGTGCCGATAGGGTGGAGTTCTAGCACATGGGGTTGCAGAATATCAACGCCGAGCCTAATAATTCACAATAATCACAATATTATTAGTAATATTGATAATAAAAACAATGATTTTGATAATAAAATAATATACAATCTGGGACACAGCCTCTCCTCAGCATGAAGGCGCCTTGAACCATCAGCTCAGGGTTTTGGTAGGCTTTAGGGCATCCGGCATGAAGGCAGCCTCTAGGTACCCAAATGCCTCCCAACGAAGTAAGCCAAGCTTCCTGGGAGTTCGACCGCCATCATCACAGCACCACCAGATCTCAAAGTTAGTATTGGACCCGGAGACTCCAAAACCCCTTGATGGTTCAGGGTTTAGGGTTTAGGGTTTAGGGTTTAGGGTTTAGGGTTTAGGGTTTAGGGTTCCTATGATAGTTTACGGGGGATGTTCCTGAATTTAGCGGTTTTGGAGTCTCTGGGGACTTCAGTGGGAGATGCCCGAAGTAGGATTCTAGCCGCCTTTCACCTCTGCTATACTTCTTCTTATTGACGGTTTAGGGTTTAGGGTTTAGGGTTCACTTGCAAGTAGTCATAAACTTCCAAGTGCCCCAAACTGGCTAGTTCTTAGCAGGGAATGAGGGAATGAGGTACCCTATATAATCCCTTAAAGGGCATATATACGGGTACCTCATTCCTTCATTCCCTACTAAGAACCAGGGGGAAAAGCCCCAAACACCAACGCGCAAGGAGGACGTTGCGGGACGAAATCGGCTGAGATCCGACCATTTGTCAGATGAAGACGAAGAGGAGGCGGGGTTTGCGATGTAGCGATTGAAGGGCTTTGGGGGGTCTTGGGTCGAGGCGGGCCCCAACCCTAAACCCCGACAGTGTACAGCCTCGTGCCGAAGGAGGCTAAGGAGTTCTAGACGGGTGGCAAAAGCCCCAAACCCTGAACCCTAACCCTAAACCGTAAGCACACAAAAACGCGAACCCAGAAACTCCTCAACCCAAGCTCTGACTGTTGCACCCCTGTCGCCTCAGTGTTTAGGGCTCTCAAGGCCTCGAACGATCCCAGAGAAGAAAAAGCAAGCAACTGAGGCCAAAAAAATTCCAGGAGGGTCAAGGCGGGGGTAGAGTTCAAAGTGGCTAAAGGCCCTACTTGGGGCGGGGGATTTATAAGCCTGCTTTCTTTTTACAAGTCCACTTGGCCACCCCCCGCCACCCCCCCCCCCCCCCCAAAAAAAAAAAAAAAAACAAAGAACCGAAAAGAATAAAGAAGAAACAAAGGGCTCACCTCAGCTTCAGGAGGAAGAGGACGACAGGCCGGCCTGCTTCGGTGAGCTGGAGTTCTTGGGCCTCAGCCCTGTGCGCAAGACCGTGGCTTGCTGCACAACGTTTGCTGGGGCTTCTTGCGAAGGGACAGAGACGAAAGCTACCGGAATCAGGAAACACCATGTTGGGTTTCCTTGACAAGGACCCAATTTTGGGACTTTCGAAGTTTGGCTCAGGCCATGCCCGCACCTCGAAATGGGCAAGCCTTGAAACAGTTGTACCTCCTCTATTCCCCAAACATGACAATCCCCTGTACCAGGACCCCGAAAATGCGTACCCTAACCCTAAACCCTAAACCTTAAACCATAAACCCAAAACCCTAAACCCTAATCCCTAAACCCTAACCTAAACCCTAAACCCTGATGTGTAGAACCGCTGCGTTGGCTGCCATTGCAGCCCAGGCGGTCAAAGCTTTGACTCCGTGCGTGTGCAGGTGCCGGGCATCTGGTTCAGGGTTTTAGGGTTTAGGGTTTCAGGGGTTTAGGGTTTAGGGTTCAGGGGTTCTGCCAGGGATTTGGTGTTTAGGGGTTTGGGGTTTGGGGTTTAGGGTTTCGTGGTTAGGGGCGTTGAAGGTGTAAGGGGTTCGGGTGAGTTAGTCGTATTTACTTATTCGTTTTCAGGATTGAGAAGAATTGCGAAGAAACTTACAGGAAGCGACCAGAATCGGGTTGTCTAGAGCATGATAGTATGCTTCTCTTATTATTTTAGGTTCGTTCACAAGAGCCCCGTTCGGGGTGTCACAGCTTCAGGGGGTAAACCCTAAACCCTAAACCCTAAACCGTAAACCGTAAACCCTAAACCCTAAACCCTAAACCCTAAGCCCTAAACCATTAGGCCTGACGAAGGTTTCGATCCGAATGCCGCAGCCCGAAACTTGCGGAACAATCAAAGCCGAGTAAAAAGACCCTAAGGTTTAGGGTTTAGGGTTCCCCCCCTCAGGGTTTAGGGTTTAGGGTTTAGGGTTTGGGGCCCCCCCCCCTTTTTTTTTTTTTTTTTTTTTTTGGAAGACTAGCAGTTTCTAGATGCCAGTCAAACAGAGTGAGTCCTATTCTGGTACCCCAGTTGGTCCAGCAAGTGCAGGATGTAAGGGGTATAAGGAGGCACCCCCAGAAGCGAACCTTAATCTTCTTCCCCCAGGGTTTAGGGTTTAGGGCTTAGGGTTTAGGGTTTAGGGTTTAGGGCCCGATATAACCCCTACATGTGCCTTATATAGTCCCGATTAAGTAGCCCCTGAATAACCCCCCAACCCCCAAAGGCTCTTATAAGGGTCAATCCTTGAGTCCCTTGTCAAGGGATGAAGAGGTTGTACCCTAAAGGTTCCCCCTACTATACTCCTAATATGGGACCCCAAAACGCGAGGGTACAACCTTAAGGGTCCAAAGTAGAACCCCTGGACCTTGAAGGATTCTGAACCGGGAGATGGTCTTGCACGTAGCAAGAGACACGGATATGGAGGTCTATAGCACCTCGGCTGCTCAGGCTCCTTGAGATCATGGCCTTGTCCCCCCTTTGGTTTAAGGTTTAGGGTGTTTAGGGTGTTTAGGGTGTTTAGGGTGTTTAGGGTGTTTAGGGTGTTTAGGGTGTTTAGGGTGTTTAGGGTGTTTAGGGTGTTTAGGGTGTTTAGGGTGTTTAGGGTGTTTAGGGTGTTTAGGGTTTAGGGTTTAGGGAGAGCCCCTGACCTTTCGGAGTCAGTTGAGGGGGGGGGAGAAGGGGGGAGGCTGCGCGTGTCAGAGGCAGCATGCTCCTCCAGATGTTCCAGAAGACAGTCCACAAACCTAGCGGCGAACAGGCACCGGTTTTCTCAGGGCCAGTCGTGGTTACGGGGGGTTTACCCTGAACCCTGAACCCTCGGTGGCGACAAACAACCTAAATCCGAATCAGATCCTAAAACCCAAGCCCTAAACCCTAAACCCAATATAGACCCAAAACCCCTAGACCCCTCCATAAACCCGAATAGTCTCAACGGTGCTTGGCCCGGAGATTGATTTGGGAGTTGATTTGGAATCACTTGGAGGTTCATGGGTCGTTATAGGTAAGGTCATATGTCCCCTACGTAGGGTTATAGGCATAGTTACCAGAATTCAGCATAGTTACCATAAGGAGAACCCCACTGATAACTACCCATGAACCTTCAAGTGATCTTAAACTCGGTAGGCTTGGGAGATTTCATATTTTTCCCCAAAGGGATTAAGAGGGTCAGAGTCAGCAATATCTATCAGAGGGTTGTAAGAGCCATCCAAGTACAGTTCCAGAGGGCCTGATCCCTGTAGACCACGAATTAGGGTCTCACCCCGACAAGTTCTATACCCTCTTCGCTCATGGACTTCTTGATGTCTACTTGTCCCCCACATCTGCCCCGGAGAAGTTCAGAAGGGCTCCTGACATGATGCACACATCCCTTCCAGCCGTGCGCGAGTGCGAGCGCGGAGACCCTAAACCCTAAACCCGGATTCCCTGCTGAGTGGCTTCGTGTCAGCCATGCGGCCCTAAACCCTAAACCCTAAACCCTAAACCCTAAACCCTAAACCCTAAACCCTAAACCCTAAACCCTAAACCCTAAACCCTAAACCCTAAACCCTAAACCCTTAACCCTTAACCCTAAACCCTTAGCCCTTAACCCTTAACCCTTAACCCTGAACCCTGCGCCCTGAACCCTAAACCCTAAAACCTAACCCCTAAACCCTAAACCCTAAACCCTACACCCTACACCCTCAACCCTCAACCCTAAACCCTAAACCCTAAACCCTAAACCCTAAGCTCTGCGCAGGCCAGTGTGCTCATGGACTTCATCTCGGCAGGCTGTAGCGATGAATTTCTCCAGCTGCTCAGACACTTCTACTCGCTGGCTCCTGATAGGGTCCTAGGGAGTCAGATTAGGTACCTTATATATATATATACAAATATATATATATATATATATATATATATAGATATGTATATATATATATGTACATATATATATATATGTACATATATGAATATTCATTTTCGATTGTTGCTCCTTCTTTTTCTTCTGACAGGGCAAGACATGATGACGACACGTGGGATCCACTCTGTTGTGTGGTTCTGTGCCTCTTGGCTGAGGTTCCTGTCCGGCCACCTGGAAGCACGGCTCTACCCTGAAGGGAAGCTGCCCGGCGATGCAAACCTTGCAGCCTGAGCGCGGGGTTGGCGATTGCAGGTCGGGGGCACCTGGTGTAGAGAGAAGGATCGGCTCGTTTAGGGTTTAGGGTTTAGGGTTTAGGGTTTAGGGTTTAGGGTTTAGGGTTTAGGGTTTAGGGTTTAGGGTCCTCCTGGCGTGGGAATCCAGACTTGGCCTCATCGGACAGGGCTGGCAGTCACAGTCACGTGATGAGCTGTGGTTGGTTTTGGTTTTGTTTTTCCGTGGTGGTCAGGTCGGTGAAGCTGCGCCTTTAATTCATCACGGTGGGGTCAGTGCCCGAGGAATGTGTAGGTAGATCGGCGTCTCGTATTCTTTTTTATGATGGGCGTTAAGGTTGAAGCGCCCAACTCATACCTTCCAAACTTGAGGGAACCACTAAACCGAAGACGGGCAAGATGCGCTGAGGCGATTCGTTCTTCTTCATCTTATCTTCTTTCTCTCAGCAACCCTGTGTGAAAGTCAGTCTCTGCACGCACTCATTGGCTTTTGGGGTGAATCAGGAATTGGACGGGGGGGCGGGAGGGGGGGGGGTTGGGGGGTTGAGGGGGTGAGTGGGTGGGTGGGTGGGCGGGTGGGTGGGTGGATGATGATCTCAGTACAATCCGGGCACAGGAACAGTGTGTTGCCCTGCAGTGCGTCCTGGCAGTCAGCTAGGCAGGTGGCAAGCCAAACAGCCCTCAGCCAACTGGTTCAATCGAGCGCAACATGCTGGGGACATGCTTGTCATACCTTACTTTTGGGCCTCAAAATGGTACAGATTTTTCAATTCCCCCTCCCGCTGAGCTCCTTCGGTTGGGGAGCACAAGTTCCGGCATGTTCACTTGTGTTGCCGTCATCGTTCTTTAGGGTTTAGAGTTTAGGGTTTAGGGTTTAGGGTTTAGGGGTCCAGGGCCCTAAGCCCTAAAGCCCCAGAACCTGGAATTGTTGGGTTCAGGGTTTCTTGGTCCTCCGCTTTCCTTCATAGGAATTGTAGTAACCCCTATTATGTCCCCATTAAGGAGCTGTTAGTATAAAGGGACCTGGAACCCTAAACTCTAAACCCTAAACCCTAAACCCTAAACCCTAAACCCTGTTAAGGGTAAACCTGGTGCCTCAAAGGCTCATTTGGGAGCTGAACAAGAAGTCCGGCTCGCGCTCTCTTCAGATGGTCATGAGCGGCCCCTTGGAATCTCGCAATCGCTCAAACCTAAACCGCCTGCCGAAAGTTTAAATGGCTCCGCTAGCCGAGCTCAACGCAGACTCGCGAGCCGCAGTGGTGTCCAGTTTAGAGGTTCGGGTTTAGGGTTTAGGGTTAGGGTTTAGGGTTTAGGGTTTAGGGTTTAGGGTTTAGGGTTTAGGGTTTAGGGTTTAGGGTTTAGGGTTTAGGGTTCAGGGTTTAGGGTTTAGGGTTTAGGGTTTAGGGTTTAGGGTTTAGGGTGTAGGGTTCAGGGTTCAGGGTTTAGGGTTCAGGGTTTAGGGTTTAGGGCAAGTGTAGGGTTTAGCCTCAGAAGTCCCGGGCTAGACAGGGCTTAGGGTGCTGTACTCTGGACATCACTGAGCCTCCTGCCAGGCTCCGTGCGCGTCACAGGCGTCAGCAAGAAGGACGGGTTGGGAGCTCTTGTGCGTTGGCTGCACATGCCAGCACTCTATTCGCACGGAATCCGCACCACTCTGCATGGAGAATCTTGCTTCTAGACTTAGCCGGCAGGGCAGGACATCATTAGCAAGGATCGATCGGACACTAGTGGGCCAGTGGCCAAATGAGAATCTCAGCCAGAGTGATAATCTAATAACAGTACTAGGATACGAGTACTGCTAATGACGAAAAACAATCACATCCCCTCCCCCCTTCCTCTCCACCCTTCCCCAGCCCTGTCACATGTTACAAGATTGAGGTGATGCCTAAACCCCCTCAAGTTCTCGGAAGCATCAGCTAGGGCAACCTTTAGCAACAAACAGAGCCCTACAGCCTACTTGAAGGTTCATGGGCAGTGATAGGTAGAGTTGTGCAGGTAGGCACTCACTTATAACTACCCACAACCCGCAAAAACCCTCAACCCTCAAGCCTAAACCCTAACCCTAAACCCTAAAACCTAAACCCTTAACCCTGGACCCTCAACCCTCAACCCTAAGCCCTTGCGAGCCTTCAGGACCTTCCCTGGCTGGGGAAGGGCGACGTCTTCGGCCGCATGTCGGCGCTGAGTTTGAGGCCGACGGTTTAGAGTTTAGGGTTTGGGGTTTAGGGTTTGGGGTTTAGGGTTTAGGGTGTGGTGTTTTTTTTTGCTGAGTGGCTTATGGATGTCTGTAGGGCTTTTTTTGTAGTTCAGAATTTCATGGTTAGGGATTTCGGGTGTACGGTTCTAGCAAGAAGCACAGCGCGGGTTCAAAAGAAGGAAGAAGGGTTTCCGGCAGCACCATAGGCCTGGATGTGAAAGGTTTGGGGTTTAGTTCCCCCCTGAAAAGTGCTTTTGTGAAATCCATGAGTTCATCTGCATTCATCTGCCCACCCTGAACCCTAAACCCTAAACCCTAAACCCTAAACCCTAAACCCTAAACCCTAAACCCTAAACCCTAAACCCTAAACCCTAAACGACCCAGAGTCCCTCCCAACCCTGCGTCAGGCCCCGGCCATCGGGAGCCAGCGCGCTGTATGCAGCAGAGCATTGCTGCGTTGAGGCGGGGCCGGGCCCTAAACCCTAAACCCTAAACCCTAAACCCTAAACCCTAAACCCTAAACCCTAAACCCTAAACCCTAAACCCTAAACCCTAAACCCTAAACCCTAAACCCTAAACCCTAAGCCCTAAGCCCTAAGCCCTAAACCGTAAGCCCTAAGCCCTAAACCCTAAACCCTAAGCCCTAAACCGTAAACCCTAAACCTTAAACCCTAAACCCTAAACCGCAGGGAGTTGGGGGGATGCGATGACAGTGAACAGGACATGGGACAGCAAGGCGACGCAAGAATGCTGAGCAGGGGCTAGGGTCAGGCTGAGAGTTGCATTTCCGAGCCCTAGCAGTTGGGGGCTTTCCGAAATTAGGGTACCCTGTTGGGGTCCTTATGATAAGGGGATCCTACTTTTTGGGGCTTTATTTTCGGGGTCCCCTATTGTCGCAAACTCCCAGTTTTGTTAAAATTCCCTACGGCAGGTCCTTCATCAAGACGTTGTTGTCAGAGCCCTGGAGATCTATCATGATCAGCGAGGTGGGGCACACGGTTTAGGGTTAGGGTTTAGGGTTTAGGGTTTAGGGTTTAGGGTTTAGGGTTTAGGGCTTAGGGCTTAGGGCTTAGGGCTTAGGGCTTAGGGTTCACGATGTTTTCGACACCACCGCGGTGGGGCCAAGCCATGGTAATATCGGGGTCGGAGTAATGACTCATAAAAATATCCCCCTTATGGTCCCTCTATATATATATATACATATTATACCCCAACACCCTGTTCTAATGATTAAGGCCCCGATATTATGCGCTTCAGGGGGCATCGTGCATCCTCGCGGACGTAGTTCATGCTCAGCGGCGTGAAGCGTGTGGCTTGCTCATTGGAGCGGCTACTCTAAACCCTAAACCCTAAGCCCTAATCCTAAGCGCTACCCTCCCCCCCCCCCCCCCCTCCCCGGCCGATGAAATGGTTCGTGGGTAGGATGGACCAGAGTGAGGTTGGAGGACAGGGCTTGCTGATGAAAAATGCAGACTTTTTATTTCTTATTGTTTTGGGATTCTCTGGGTGGGTGGGTTTTTTTCGAGAGCCCAAACAGCGGCTCTACTGGAGATCGACCCGGAGCTGCTGAACCCTAAACCCTAAACCCTAAACCCTAAACCCTAAACCCTAAACCCTAAACCCTAAACCCTAAACCCTAAACTCTAAACCCTAACATACTTATCGTATGAGTGAGTTCTTCCAGAATTCTCTGCAGGCAAGGTCCTGACGCTCGATCGCGAGGCCAAAGCTGCTGCCGGAACCTGGAGTCGCACTATGGCCTCCAAGTCTTCGCAAAGTGCTTGAGGGTTTAGGGTTTAGGGCTTAGGGCTTAGGGTTTAGGGTTTAGGGTTTAGGGTTGCTTCTTCCAGCTCGTTCCTGTGTGTAGGCCTGTTGAAAACGGTTTGGGCTTCTGAGGGTGACTCTCACGCGCCTGATTTGTACAAAGGATTGTGCCCACAGGGCGCAAGAAACGAAAGCAATCAGGGTGCCGGCAGCTGTGCCCAAGACAAGCAGATGCTGGCAACAGCTTGAAGCATGGACGACCATGTGCGCAGTCGAGACTTCGATGCTAGAATGCACTGCATCCCGGCCATGACAAGGAGCGAAAGCCATGGACTTTGTTGAGATTGTCGCGAGTTCGCGAATCTTTTCTGACATGCAGCTTGGCAAGACCGCATTAGATTTCTTGACTGTCGGAAGGTGTCAGTCCCCTACTGAGCCTGCATCCCAAGCCATGAACTCAACCGCACGTGCAAAGATTTGCATCTTCATCGCAGGTCCCATGCCTTCGTCCAGGAGCTGGCGGCTTCGGCGATCGATCGAATTTTTATGCCAGGACGTCGTTGGGCTCAGTTTTTTGACGTTCAAGCGCTGGGCACTTGAAAGGCATTCCCCCAAACAACTTGCAAGTGTGCTTCGTGTCTCTGTCTCTGTGTGAGTGTGTGTGTGTGGCCACATAGGCGCATGCATATATAAGCCGGCTCACCCTTTTCCCATCCATACAATCCCATAGTCGGCTTAGTGACAGGCCCTCCCACCACAGATTGCGTAGGTGGTCTGCGGTGTGCCGAATTGGTCAGAACCCGCCCCTTCCAGGGGCCATCTCAGTGCCACCACTCCCACTGGGAGGCTAACGCACCGAAGGGGCGTACTGTACCGGCAAAGAAAAGATGCCAAGTCCGCACTCATGTTGAAGACAGTCTGCCATGCGCATGTCAGCCTGTATATGATGCATGTTGCATGTTGCATGTGCTCATGTGCGCATGCGTCATGCATCTGTTCACTCGTCTTGCCTATGCTGCTGCATCCGAACTCTTGTAGTCTACTATTTGCTTAAGAAACGCCCAAAAAACAAGAACAGTAATCCCTATATTACCCTTTTTTTTTTTTTTTTTGGGGGGGGGGGGGGTTCTTAAGCAAATCATAATCCCTATATTCCCTTATAAGGAAGAATCTTTTTATGTTTTGAGGGGTTCTTAAGCAATTGGTACTAGTCGGTTTCTGTCGCAGGAGATGTCGTGATGCACCAGGGCGCTGTCGAGTTCTCCATGTTTATTCTGGTGACAGGCTGCCCGCGGGCTTCAGGGAAGGATTTAGGGTTCAGGGCTTAGGGTTTTTGGGGAAGGCCTTCTTTCCCGCTAATCCCCTCCCCCTAATATGAAACCCCCCTACCCCCGAATATTGAATACCCCCCCCCCCCCCCCCATATACGCTAGTATAACTGAGTATAACAATAAAAGGGGTAATCAAATATTAGGGGTTAGGGGGGGGTGAATACCATTTGGAGCTCATAGTTCTGTTTGATTAGGATGGTGCACCAAAGGAGCGCTAGAGTGGGTTGAGTTCTCAGGCCCTCTTAACCCCCCAAAAAAATTCAAAAACACCCATTTACTGCCCTTATAAGGAAGAATATTTTTTGTTTTATGCGGGGTTCTTAAGCAAATAGTTGCCTATGAGACTTCATCCCCTTTCTGGAGTTTTGGGTTCCTCAAGCCCGAAACCTGCGGGCGACTTCTCCGAAGACCACGAGCTTTTGACCCAGAGGGTACCCCCTTTAATTTTTTCTCAAGCTTCCTGGGCAATCTTCACCCTAAACCATAAACCCTATAACCCTATGACCCCTCCAACCCTAAACCCCTTTAACCCTACGACCCCAGAAGCCCCAATCCATCCACCCTAAACCCTAAACCCTAAGCCCCGCTCAACGGCCCTAAACCCTAAACCACCCTAAGCCCCTAAACCTTGCAACCCCCAAGAGCCCAAAACTCCAGTGCAAGGGCCCTAAACCCTGAACCCTAAACCATCCTAAACCTAAACCTGCAACCGAAAAACCAAGAACTGTGTAAGGACACCCTAGACCCTAGACCCAAACCCTAACCCCCCAAAACCCAGAACTCCAGTGTAAGGGTTGCCCCAAAACCCCAAAACCCCAAAACCCAAACCCCAAACCCTAAACCCTGAACCCTAAACCCTAAACCCTAAACCCTAAACCCTAAACCCTAAACCCTAAACCCTAAACCCTAAACCCTAAACCCAGGGTTGCTGAAGACAGGCACTGCTGACGTCTTCGTGAGCGATCTGTCGAAGTCAGACGAGCCGCGGGGAGACCAAGGAACCCAAGAGTTGGGTTTAGGGTTTAGGGTTTAGGGTTTAGGGTTTAGGGTTTAGGGTTTAGGGTTTAGGGTTTAGGGTTTAGGGTTTAGGGTTAGGGTTTGGGGTTTGGGGTTTAGGGTTTAGGGTTTAGGGGGTGCTTTAGGGTTTCTAGGTTTTTGCGTTTTTGGGGTTTTAGGCTTTTTGTTTGTATCTTCAGGATTTCTAGGGTTTACTGGGTGAGAGAGGGTTTAGGGTTCGGGTTGCACTGAGAATCCCTACGAGCAGTCCGTTGACAGGAGAGGCAGATGGATGTGCGGTGCGTCCGCTGTTACTGGCTAGAGCTAAATCGCATGTTCCAATCTAAACCCTAAGCCCTAAACCCTAAACCCTAAACCCTGGACCCTAAACCCTAAACCCTAAACCCTAAACCCTAAACCCTAAACCCTAAACCCTAAACCCTAAACCCTAAACCCTAAACCCTAAACCCTAAACCCACGCAACAAATCCTTGCAGTTTCGATCCTGCGCGCTTGAAAATTGAGAAAAGTCCAGAGTCCAGGGCGCAACTTGCACCCGAATTGGGGCCCTAAACCCTGAGTCCTAAGCTTTCCAATTTGGGTTTTTATAAACACCCTCTTTGCCTAAACCCTGAGTCCTAAACTTTCCCAAACTGCAACTCTCTGCTGCGACTCTGCCACCTCGAGGTTTGGGGCAAAGGACCGAATGTCTCTGAGGCACGCTCGGGCCCTGGTGGTGCTTTGTGCACAGTGCAGGCTGCGTGGGCGGACCCCGGTCTTCTCGGATTGAGAATCCATAAACCCGAAACCCTAACCCCTAACCCCTAACCCCTAACCCCTAAACCCCGAAACCCTTAAACCCCTTAACAGGGAGCCGCTGCATCAGCGCAACGCTCCGCTCGGAGTCAGCACGTGCACTGGAACAACACAGACACATGCTGCTTGAAGGTCCATGACGTGCGTAGTTTCAAGAAGGAGATATATGTGCCCTAAGTAGGGCTATAAGTATCGCTACCCTAAACCCTAAACCCTAAACCCTAAACCCTAAACCCTAAACCTTAAACCTTAAACCCTAAGCCCGAAACCCTAAACCCTAAACCCTATAAATTCGATCCCTACTTGATAAAGTACGCCCATGCGCCCGAGGCTAAAAGCATGAGCCGAGTCAGCCACCTTTCGCCTGGAGCGATCTGCGCCTCGGCTTGTCTTTACTTGGAGGTTCATGGGTACATATAAGTAGGGTGAGAAGTAGGGTTTTGGGTTTCGGGTTTCGGGTTTAGGGTTTAGGGTTTAGGGTTATGGTTATAAACATTTTGCGGGCACTTATAAGTACCCATGAACCTTCAAGCAAGGGGGTGTCTGAGCAAGTCCGCATGCCTATATAGTTTTCTATAACAGATAGTAACCCCCAAAACCCTATTCTAGTTTTTTCAGGCCCCTCTATTCCGTGTATACTTGAGACATCACGAAAGCCGCTTTTACTCTGTGAACATATCGCAGGTGTACAGTTTGCCCCCATGTGTCTGGGCTCCTGTCAAGGAATTGAACTGTATTGAATTCAGCTGCCGTAGTAAGGATGGGATGTGACCCTGTTAAGGTCGCCGATTTTCAGTTGCGTAACTTGAGAGCCCTTGGTTGGCTATTGTTGCAGATGTGTGTGTCTGTGTGTGTGTGCAGCCTGGCGTGCACCAGTGTGTGTGTGTGTGTGTGTGCAGCCTGGCGTGCACCAGTGCAGATGGCCTGGTGTCTGGCAGACATCGGCGCACGAACCGAAACCCTGAACCCTGCATTGACTGAGATGTTGGATTCTGCTTCAGCCATCTTAAACAATCCTTCGGAAGATGCAGCATCGACGCACACACACACACACACACACTTTGAACTCTCAAACTTCACCTGAAGACCTCGGTTGTAGCTGCTAGTATGCCTTTGCCTTCTTGTTTCTAAGGGTAGTTACATGGTGCCTGAATATGGGCCCATAGATGGGGACCCCTTATTTGCCCCTTATATACCTTTTTACCCCTTATATGCCCCTTATATACCCCTTCTGTACCCTTTTAAAGGAGGTGAGGGTAGGGGACCCTTTTACTGTAGATAGTTTGCTCCCTGCAACAGCGCCTCTGGCACGGCGATGAACCTCTACGCGTGCCTCGGCGCCCAGCGTGGCGACTCCGAAACTCAGCTTCGCGCCTCCTTCCGCAGGAAGGCGTTGGCCACACATCCGGACAAGGGAGGCACGGCGGACGCATTTCGCGCAGTGCTGGAAGCCTTCGAGCGGCTGAGCTCCGCCAAGTTCCGCGCCCGCTACGACCAGGAGCTGCATGAGGCCGGCAGCGGCGACGGACTCCAGGAGCCCAGAGTCGCTGAGGGCTGCGCCGCAGAGTCTGCAGCTGGCCCGGAGCCGGCCCGGCGCCCGAAGAAGAGGGGCCGGCCGAAGAGGGCTGCGCAGACGGAGGTGCCGGTGCAAGGCCCCCAAGCTCCTGGCACGTTCACTGAGGCTGAGGCAAGGGAGGGGCCAGAAAGGTGGGAGTTTACGAACATAAGGGACCCTGATAATGGACCCCCCAAGTAGCAGGATTCCCTGTTTATTCAGGACCCCAATAAGGGTACCTCCTACTTTCGCCCCAGGTTGCTACAGCACCTTCTGGCAAAGGAGGAGAACTGGGGAGAGGATTTGAAGAGGCTGAGGGAACACCGCTTCCTTGATCTCCAAAGCATCTGGCAGCTGCTTGAGAAGGAGTACCCCATCCGCAAGCAGGCCAAGGCGAGGACGAGGACCCCGTTGAAGAAGTTGCCGGCGCCGAAAGAAGGCACGTGGCGCAGGAGCAAGAACAACATCCGCGGTGTGTACAGTCAGACAAAAGGCGGATACGGGTGCCCATATCCCCCTTTGGGAAGTATTTGTTTGGTTATATACAACCCAAGAGGATATTTCAAACATATGATTTTATGAAGGTTCTAAGGGGAGTATAGGTGCAGCATCTACATCCAGCAGCTTGTTCTGATGTCCCCAGTTGTGCAGACCCTGAATGAAGCCCTGGAGTACCACATGCAGTGCACGCAGATCCGCCAACAGGTCTTAGAGCAAACGGAGGCCGGCTGCCCCTTTGCGGATGCCATGACATCGGCCGTGCAGCTCGTGGACGAGGAGCGCGCGCGGAACGAGCTGCCGCCCATGAAGCGATGCTACTACTCCGTGCTGAGTACCACCCGAGGCACCTTTGTCACGCCAACTTCGAGGGTGCTCCCAACTGCGCTCAAGTTCTGGTGCGTCACCAACCGCCTGCGCGGATTGGAGCCCGATGCACGCGTGCGCCGCTGGAACGAGGAGAAGCCCTCCATGGTCGCAGAGGCCCGTGCGGAACGCAGCGAGCACATAGCGAGGCTTCATCGCCTTCGCCGGCTGCAGCGTGCGGTGGCCCAGGCGCTGCGACCAAGGCGCGAGAAGCAGCAGAAGCAGAAGCCGAAGCAGAAGCGCCAAAAGCACAATCCGTTTCAGACCCCTGCGATGCTGAAGAAGCGCTGGGGAGTCAAGTGCCTTCCGCCCTTTATCCAGGAAGTTTGTCCTCTGCTGGGTCCTGGCGCAGAGGAGGATGAGGCACCCTAAACCCCAAACCCCAAACCCCAAACCCCAAACCCCAAACCCTAAACCCTAAACCCTAAACCCTAAACCCTAAACCCCAAACCCTAAACCCCAAACCCTAAACCCCAAACCCTAAACCCTAGAGAGGCCTCTGCCACCCGCTGCCTCCGCGCCGTTCTCCAGCGTAAGGACGGCGAGGAGCTTGCAGGGCAGCCAAGGCTTAGCCTCGCTGCAGCCAAGAAGGACTCGGGAGCCCGGTGGTGCCCTTCTTTCCCCTTTTGGGGTTCAGGGTTTTGGGTTTAGGGTTTAGGGTTCAGGGTTTAGGGTTGCCCGACACACGAGATGTTGGGGTGACGGCTCCATCCAGGCGAGGACGTTCTGCAAGCCTGCTGCAAAAGGGTTTAGGGTTTAGGGTGCCCTGTTCCCCTTTGCTTTTTTGGTTCAAGGTTCCCTTGTAAAGTAACCAACCGGGGCCTTTATTGTTAGTACTATTAGTATTACTGTTTTTGTATTCTTGTTCTTATTCTTATTTTATTCATTTTCTTACTCTTTTCCTTATTCTTTTTCTTATTCTTACTATTGTTATTAGAATCATATGGCTACCGGGCCACCTTGAGGACCTGCAGAAGCTTCGCCAAGTGCAACTCAAGGCCGGTGACGATGCCGCGGTCGCTGCCATCGCCGAGGGTGAAATGCAGGCCATGACGGACATCATGATGTCGAAGCTCCACTTCCCCCCTGGTTCTTAGGGGGTTTAGGGTTTAGGGTTTAGGGTTTAGGGTTTAGGGTTTAGGGTTTAGGGATGTCGAAGCTCCACTTCCCCCCTGGTTCTTAGGCGGGAATGAGGGAGTCAAGTAGGGCCCTATATGTACCCCTTGGGGTTTAGGGTTTAGGGTTTAGGGTTTAGGAGGGTGCCTCATTCCCTACTGAGAAGCAGCCAGTTTCAAGAAGCGGCGGCCCTGTCTGCAACGCCAATGCCCTCTCGGCTGTGACATGCTGGGCCACGAAGAGAGGCTCTCATGGAGGCCGACAACATGCGACAGCTGTCCTGCAGGTCGAGAAGAGGAAAGTTCTGAGTCTGAGTAGCATGTACCTGTGGAAGAATATTCGTCTGTAGGGAACGCGGTGAGTTTACTAGTGGATCGGTATCACCAGCTGGCGGTCAGTTTCATTGGATGCTGCAAAGACCTGCGAAGCTCAAAATGCTTGCCTGATCTCGCCTGCCTTGTCCGAAGCCCTAAGCCCTAAACTGCCTTGAGCCCTAAAAACAGCCCGAAACCCCAAACCCTAAACCCCAAACCCCAAACCCCAAACCCCAAACCCTAAACCCTAAACCCTAAACCCTAAACCCTAAACCCTAGGCAGATGGGACCCTTAGGGTTAGGGTTTGGGCTTCTTTTGCCCAGCCGCTTCTCGTACCCTCAATGGCTTCCCGAGGTGGCGAGCTGGCGATGCTCGGAATTACCCCTACGAGGTGGGGGTGTAGGGTTTAGGGTTTAGGGTTTAGGGTTTAGGGTTTAGGGTTTAGGGTTTAGGGTTTAGGGCTAGCGAGTTTCGTAAACCCCTACGAGGTCGGCAACGATCAAGGCCTCAGCTCTCTGCATCTTCTGGGAGGTGACCCAGGAGACCTGCCGCTGACCTTGGGGTTTAGAGTTTAGGGTTTAGGGTTTTGGGGTTTTGGGGTTTAGGGTTTATAGGGTTTAGGGTTTAGGGTCTAGGGTTTAGCGTTTAGGGTTAGGGTTAGGGTTTAGGTTTTTAGGGTTTATGGTTTTGGGGTTTAGGGTTTTTGGGGATCTAGTAGCCTCGTCTCCAGCTCACAGCTCTTGCTGTCAATGTGTCGGAAGAAGTGCGGCGCATTGCGGTGTCTGTCCTTTTGGTCTGTCCATTCGAGGGATGGTTTCGGGTAGCTTTGTCACCGATGAAGTGTGTTGTGGGGCTGAACGCCCGTACTAGATACTTGCCAATTATCGACCCTAAACCCTAAACCCTAAACCCTAAACCCTAAACCCTAAACCCTAAACTCGGCTCAGTATCTGGCCTTGCTTCTGAGGCATTCTAGATCCGCGCGGTGTTCCTTTTGGCCTGATCATAAAACTGCCCAGCCAGCCAGCATTCTTTGGCAACGTGCGCCGGCACAAGGTTTTTGTGATTGGAGTTTGAAGTTGGGGTTCCAGGAATCTGGGCTTGTGGTGTATTTAGGACGTTTAGGTGTTGCGGGTTGCAATAGGGCACTTGCCCAGAGACTCCAAAACCCCTTAATTAAGGAATGTACCTTAAATCATGTTATGGTTCCTATTATAATTTAAGGTAGATTCCTTAATTAAGGGGTTTAGGGTTTAGGGTTTAGGGTTTAGGACTGAGAGAGCTGCCCATTCCCTTGGCAGGACAAAGCTATGGCCATTCTAGACCGCTATCCTCAGGAGCGCGATCTCTTTGGGGCTGCCCCTTCGTGCGCAGAAATTAGGGTTTAGGATTTAGGGTTAGGGTTTAGGGTTTAGGGGTTAGGGTTTAGGGTTTAGGGTTTACGATCTTAGGGGGCACCTGCTTGGGATCCGTACTATAAGGGGATCCTATTATTTGGGGTCTATATTCAGGTTCCATTACTCCCAATTCGAGACGACTTTGAAGTTTCTACTGCTGGATGTTGCTCGGGTTTCGGGTGCGGACTCGTGCCGATTCCGAGGTCATTGTCCATAACCTGGACATCAGCGTTCCCGGAAGGTGCCAGTGAGGGGCAGCAGTCAGCATTGGCACGGAAAGTTAAACACGACCCTAAACCCTATTCCCTAAACCCTAAACCCTAAACCCTAAACCCTAAACCCTAAACCCTAAACCCTAAACCCTAAACCCTAAACCCTAAACCCTAAACCCTAAACCCTAAACCCTAAACCCTAAACCGCTCGTCCAGGCTCCTTCAGTTGCCCTTGCTGCGAGCCTTCGACCGGAAGTTTCGGATGCTTCTGACGCTTCTCTCCTTACTTCGTTTTTAGTTGAACTTTAAACTTCTTGGGTTTCCTTATTTAGTAGGAACATTAAAGTTTAACCTTTTTTTACCTCTTGGTGATTGGAGAAGTAAGTCTCCTGCACCCTGCAGACATCCCCACAGCTACTCTTGACATGCATGGAGGGTTTAGGGTTTAGGGTTTAGGGTTTAGGGTTTAGGGTTTAGGGTTTAGGGTTTAGGGTTTAGGGTTTAGGTTTAATGCATTGTCGGGCCAACAAAGCTCAAACACTGTCCTCCGCTTTAACATGATTCCCAGGCTTTACTGCGAGCGGCACGCCTATTTCCCAGATCAGCAGATCATCAAGGAGGGAGAGGCCGCTGAATCGTCACACTTGTGCTTCGCTCTCTAAAAGCCCTGCTTTCTTTCGATGTCGGCTGCGAGTGGGGAGCATTTCGCTCCTAATTTGCTTAGAAACCCCCCCAAAATCAAAACAATAATCCCTATATTGCCCTTATAAGGAAGAAAATTGTGATTTTTCGGGAGTTCTTAATCAATTCGTAGCTCAGCGTGCAAGACAAAAACAGTTTGCGCCGCATCGCGCTAGGCTGGTGACAAGTGCTACATATTCAATCTCGGGCCGGTGTGCATCTCAGCACCCTGTTGTTTCAGCCGACGCACGGAGGGAGAGTGCAGAGTTCGACAGATCCTCAGGCAATGCTGCAGAAGAAAGGGTTTACGGACCCTCGGCAGCACCACCAAGTGATGGCCCGCAGCTGCGCTTTATCGCGTCCCCCCCTGCCTTCCGAAGCCATCATCAGCCGGTCGGTTTGTGCTTGAGGTAAAGACATTCTCGCCGGGATCCCATTTTGGCTGCGACCACATGCTCGGCATCAACAGGCCGCATTACCACGGCGCATGAGCATCCAGAAGGTTTAGCGTTTAATTAGGGTTTAGGGTTTAGGGCTTAGGGCTTACGGTGGAGTTCCCTAAATTTGGGTCGTTTTGAGGTTCCCGGAGCCTTATGAATGGAGGGTACCCAGAAAGGACTTGAGTTTACAGAGCTGCCCACATGCCAAGCACTGTCTCGCTCTTTTTGACACTGCCGCCTCCCCTCCTTACTCTACTTGGAGGATCATGGGACTTGGTAACTCGGGTTATAAGTACCCAAATTGGGGTTAGAAGTAATTGCAGCTATAGCTGCCCTAAACCCTAAACCCTAAACCCTAAACCCTAAACCCTGAACCCTAAACCCTAAACCCTAAACCCTAAACCCTAAACCCTAAACCCTAAACCCTAAACCCCAAACCCTAAACCCTAAACCCTAAACCCTAAACCCTAAACCCTAAGCCCTTTTTACTAAGTTCCCTTGTCCTCTAAGTAGTGTTCGGCGCTGCCTGAATCCCTTACAATGCGGCTTTTGCCCCTGAACTCCTGTATCCCTAGACCCGACTTGGAGGTTCATGGGTAGGGTTTGGGATTTGGGATTTGGGGTTTGGGGTTTAGGGTTTAGGGTTTAGGGTTTAGGGTTTAGGGTTTAGGGTTTAGGGTTTAGGGTTTAGGGTTTAGGGTTTAGGGTTTAGGGTTTAGGGTTTAGGGTTTAGGGCAGAAGTCGGGTAGCCGAGTGTCAGCTTATTCCTTTTAAAGTGCCTTCCCAAATGAGACCTCCCCCCATAGGCTCTACTGCGGCTCGCTGATCGCCATGACCGTGTGCCACGTCCCTTTGTCATAGTTGGGTAACATTTTACATTTTAAGGGTACTTAAACCCATTAAGGAATAACAAATTAAGTTTTATTATTTTCCCAACAATGAACAAGGTCCTGGTCGTATCTCGCAGCTCCTACCTGCTGGCCGGGGGGCTTGTTAAGCGTGGGTTGCAGGTTCTGCCGTTGGGATGTAGAGGTTTGCTAGTTTACAGCTTTGCAGCAGAGTTGTTTTTAAGGTTTCAAAAACGCTAGGGCCTGAGCGATCTGCAGTCTGGGGGGGGGGGGGTCGTTCTACTGCCTAAACCTCAAGTTCCCCAAACCTCAGAACCCAAACAGCTCAAAGAACGTCGGGTGCATTTTATTCCGCCAAAAACCGGCAGGGGACTTTGCAAGTCTGTCGAAGCGTCCGCTTTCCCAAAGTGGCGCGTGCACGCGCTGGAGAAAAAAGCATCCCAGCACACTCGAAGAAGGCTTTGCTTGTGGAGCACCGTGCGGGTCAGGGGAAGATAAACGATGGATCTCGGACCAAGGCTCACCGAGCACTGAGTGCCCAACACACACCAATGGGAAACCTTGCTCGCGGAGAATCACTTCAAACCCTAAACCCTAAACCCTAAACCCTAAACCCTAAACCCTAAACCCTAAACCCTAAACCCTAAATCCTAAACCCTAAACCCTAAACCCTAAACCCAAAACCCAAAACCCTAAACCCTAAACCCTAAACCCTAAATCCTAAACCCTAAACCCTAAACCCTAAACCTAAACCCGAAACTTTTGAGCCCTTCGAGGGATGACTGATCTTCGGATCAAAGCAAGGGGGTTCGCAGGTGCTCGCCCACTGTCTGTTCCTGGCCCATCCTGGCCTTAGCCCCTTCGCGCCAACCCAAGCTGTCTTCGCTGACCCTGCCTCGCCTTTCCGTCTGCGCATCGCAAATGCCCCGTACTGGTGTCTTCCTGCCTCCTGGCCCTGCTGCAGCTTTGTGCCTGGTCCACGCACCTTGTGGAGGTCCCTAAAAGGGCGTGAGTGCTGACTCATGTGGTGCTTTGTAAAAAAACAAAAGGTCTTAACTCCTTGAGAGTTGTAAGTGGGCGGTCTTGGGGTGGGTAGGTCTGCAGACTACCGCGCGCTCCCAAAGTGCGCTTCTGTTTGGCACGCCCTAAACCCTAAACCTTAAACCCTAAACCGATCTTGCCTTTTTTGCCAGGCCCTGGAGCAGTACCCCTCACAAAAGGCGAGCCAGCAGCTCCTCCGCCAGCAGCGAGTAGAAGCAAAGGAGCTCCGGCAGGCGATCCAGAGGACCGGGGTTTAGGGTTTAGGGTATAGGGTTTAGGGTTTAGGGTTTAGAGGTTAGGGGTTTAGGGTTTAGGGTTTAGGGTTTCCCAGTTGCTGTAGGGGTTCAGGGTTTCGGGTTTAGGGTTTAGGGTTTAGAGGTTAGGGGTTTAGGGTTGAGGGTTTTGGGGTTAGGGTTCAGGGTGTAAGGCTTGCCAGACACCTGGGAGGATCCAAAATGCAGAGCCCCCACAAATCCCAGCCTATACTACTATTGGGTCATTCTTCGGAACCTTCAAAGGGAGCTTTTGGATCCTCCCGGGGGTCTGGGTAATTTTCAGTCGGGATTGTGGGAATGGGTTTCTTAGTAGCTGAGTAGGTAACCTTTAGCTTTTCGGGGTAATTATACTCCTACCATAATTGAAAGGTTAACCTTTTTGGCCCCAGGGTTGAGGTGCAAAAGGGGTTGGTTGAGGGTTTGGGGGTTTCAGTGACGCGTTGGGGCATACCTGATCCAACGGATCTGGAGCCAGGGTAAAGGCTCCGGTTGGTTGAGGGTGAGAGGCTGGGACCCCCAACTCCCAACCCCCAACCCCCAACCCCCAACCCCCAACCCCCAACCCCCAACCCCCAACCCCCAACCTTCAATACTCAACCCCCAACCCCCAACCCTCGACCCTCAACCCTCAACCCTCGACCCTCAACCCTCAACCCTCGACCCTCCACCCTCGACCCTCGACCCTCAACCCTCAACCCTCCACCCTCGACCCTCAACCCTCAACCCTCAACCCTCGACCCTCAACCCTCAATCCCCTCAACCCTCAATCCCCTCAACCCTCAACCTTCAACCCTCGACCCTCAACCCTCAACCCTCAACCTTCAACCCTCGACCCTCAACCCTCAACCCTCAACCCTCAACCCTCGACCCTCAACCCAACCCTCAACCCTCAACCCTCAACCCTCAACCCTCAACCCTCAACCCTCAACCCTCAACCCTCAACCCTCAACCCTGTCTGCCTGGGGGGTGGCGAAAAAAACCCTCAACCCTAAACCCTCAACCCTTGGCTGGTCCGTGCGGCTGGAGAACTTCTGCATCCCTGGGGGATGGATGACTTGTTGTTTCCTTACTGTTCATTCGTAGGGAATGAAAGAACGAACTACTATGGTAGCTTCTATTGCTACCATTCTTTCATTCCCTACGAACCAACAGTAAGTTTCTGGCTTGCGAGCGAGAGAAAGAGGGCTTGCCCTCGGTCCGGTGGCCTCAGTTCCAGGAGAGAAAATGGGTTTCTAACCCTAAACCCTAAGCCCTAAACCCTAAACCCTAAACCCTTGACCCTAAACCCTAAACCCTAAACCCTAAACCCTTGACCCTAAACCCTAAACCCTAAAATGAGGTTTCGGGTTATAGACACTCGTACCTTGTCGCTTGATCAATTCCCCCTTTGTGCACCCAAGCGCGCGCGCGCGCCGAGCTTCCGGCTCCCAGCTGCAGGATCACAATCCGAAAGAGTATCTGGCAAAGATACCAAGGCTCTGTCGATCTCCGGGTTTAAGGATTTAAGGGTTTAAGGGTTTAAGGGTTTAGGGTTTAGGATTTAGGGTTTGGGGCGCAAGGAGCGGAAGGGTAGAGATAAAGAGAGGGCTAAGGTTAGGGTTTGGGTCTCTCTCTTGAGGGAGCAAGACCAAGGAAGCAACAAGGAAGGAGATGCGTCAGATCAACGCGGTCAGGGTTTGGGCTTGAAGACGTCTCCAACCAAGCCCTAAACCCTCTGGGCCACTTTTTGCAGAAGGTGAGATTCAGAAGGAGAAGAACATGTTCTTCCTGTCCGAGCATGCTTCTGGGTAGCATTGCCGGGCCTCGGGATTTCTGCAAGGCTCAACTCAATTCATGGGCCATAGGCCCTAAACCCTAAACCCAAAAACCAAAACCCTAAACCCTAAACCCTAAACCTACACCCTGCACCCTACACTGGCCCTACACCCTAAACCCTACACCCTACACCCTAAACCCTAAACCCTACACCCTACACCCTAAACCCTAAACCCTAAACTCTAAACTCTCAGATCTCTCTGAGGACCTGGCCAAGAGATTTGTGAAGGCTTGGTCCGAGACCGCGAAGGCGCTCAAAGCAACAAGGTGCAGCTTTAGGGTTTAGGGTTTAGGGCCAGGGTTTAGGGTTTAGGGTTTAGGGCAAGTTTAGGGTTTAGGGTTTAGGGTTTAGGTTTCAGGGTTCAGGTTTCAGGGTTTCAGGTTCAGGGTTTAGGGTTCCCCAGCTGACAGAAGAGGAGCCTGGGTTGAAAAGGGCTCAGGCTTTCAGGGTTAGGGTTTCGGGTTTAGGGTTTAGGGGTGTAGGGTTTAGGGTTTAGGGTCGAGGGACTCAGGGAAAGGACAGGACGGTTGCCTCCTTGGTTTCCCGCATTGCCTGCACAGAGGGGGTTGACCCATTATGGCGCCTTTCCGGGCCTGTGTTGTACTATGTTCCTTCTATTAACTTAAAGGTTTGGGGGGCATAGCAACTTAAAGGGCCCGGCCCTCCGCAAGCCCCGAAGCTCAATCGCTCCAACCGATCAGGGTTCAGGCCGCGGGGGCCACAGCTGATGATTAGTTGTTATGTTGATTGTTATGCTAATTCCGGTCATCTTTATTGTGATTGTGATTCCTCCACATGAGACACACAGCGGGGGTGCGCCGGAGAAAGGGCTGCTGAGTCCCGAAAGTTAGCATCTTTCAGTCGGGGTGTCGGGAGTCAGGGCTCAGGGTTAAGAGTTTAGGGTTTAGGGTTTAGGGTTTAGGGGGGCCATCATCTATCCGATAGCTCCTGAAGCATGCTGACGTGTTCCCCATGTGCTTTTTGCCGTCTCTACATATCTCATTGATACCGCATCCTCCGTGTTCGTGTGTGGTTAGGTGTTTTAGGCCTGCTGATCCTGTGGCCCGGTATCCTATACCCCCAGCGCCAGAAAGTATTCCTACAGTGCCCAACCCCAGAAAAAATCATGCAGAGAACATTTACCCAGACACCTGGGGATCCAAGAAGTGGATCTCACTGAAGGTTCCTAAGAATGACCCAATCGGAGTCTCGGGTGCCATTTTGGGGTTCTACTTCTTGGATCCTCCCAGGGGTTTGGGGTAGAGAATCCCTGCAGAGATTGCTGCAGTCTACCCCTGCAGTGCCCATCCTTTGAAAATCAATCCGACAGCGCCCGCCGCATTGCTTGCCCGAGCGCCCCACTATCTCCCCCTAAAGCCTTAAAACCTGAAAGCCCCCAAAATCCTCAAACCCCGAAACCCTAAACCCTAAAGCCTAAACCCTAAAGCCCCAAAACCCTCAAACCCCTAAACCCTAAACCCTAAACCCTAAACCCTAAACCCTAAACCCTAAACCCTCCAACCCCTAAACCCTAAGCCCTATTCGCCTCAAGGTTGGAGCGCTTCCGCCGTCGGAAGGAGGTCGAGGTTCCCTCTTGCCTGGTGTCGTTTTATGGGTTTAGGGCTTAGGGGTTAGGATGTAGGGTTCAGGGTTTAGGGTTTAGGGTTTGGTGTTTGGGGGTTTGAGGGTTTTCGGGTTTTGGGTTTGGGGCTTTTGGGGGTTCGGGGGGTTTGGGGGTTTTGGGGTTTGGGGTTTCGGGTTCGGGATTTGGCGTTTGGGGTTGGGGGTTCGGGGTTTGGAGTTCGGGGTTTGGGTTTTGGGGTTGGGGGTTGGGGGTTCGCGGTTTGGGGTTCGGTGTTTTGGGGTTTGGGGTTTGGAGGTTCGGGCTTAGGGTTTAAGCTTCACGCGTATCTGGTCTTACAAGGTTAGGGTTAAGGTTCAGGGTAGCTTGGTTGTACTCCGTACTTGGGGTAAGTAATGTATATGGGTGGTTGTCAAAATTATGGTCCCTTTTGGGTCCCTATCATAATCGGGCACCTTGTATTTAGGGTACCCCAAAAGGGATCAGAATTTTGACAACCACCCATCTGCTTACGCCTGAGCAGCCTCCAGGATACCTTTTGGGCTTGATCCTGACGCTTTGACTTCTTTCTCATTCAGGGTTTCGGCTTCGGGCTTTAGTACCATTGGGTATCTAACCCTAAACCCTAGATACCCTAGATACCCTAAATACCCCTATATACCCGAAATACCCTAAACACCCTATGTACCCTAAATACCCTAAATACCCAAATTCTCTAAATTCCTTAAACCCTATAGACGTCCTAAGAACAGCTCGGCTAGCTTGTGCTTGCCACATCAAGAGGGCCTCTCTGTTGCGAGATCCGCCCACCCCCCCCCCCCCCCCCCCCCCCCCCCAAACCCCTAAACCCTAAACCCTAAACCCTAAACCCTAAACCCTAAACCCTAAACCCTAAACCCTAAACCCTAAACCCTAAACCCTAAACCCTAAACCCTAAACCCTAAACCCTAAGCCCTAAGCCCTAAACCCTAAACCCTAAACCCTAAACCCCCCCTTCCCCGCGGAGGAGATGATTGAGAACTGGAAGGTGAAAAATGAGGCAGGCTTGAAGAAAGCCGCCCATAAGAAGAAGGAGAGCCTAGGCTTGTCTTTAGGGTTTAGGGTTTACCTTAGTTCTTCGTAGGGAAGCTGGCAACACCGCAACACTGAGAAGGTGCCACCCTACAGTCTCGCGACCCCAGATTAGGGGGTTTAGGGTTTGGGTTGTGCGTAGCAATTAGGAGCATCCGTACCAAAGTACCAGTAGTCAGAGGGTGCACAAGACGTCCTTGTCGTAGCTGTAGCCGGGTCTGAGTCGCTGCCCTAAGCCCCAACCCGGAAACCCCGAAACCCCGAAACCCCGAAACCCCCGAAACCCCCTAAACCTTAAACCCTAAACCCTAAACCCTAAACCCTAAACTCCAAACTCCTAAACCCCTAAACCCCTAAACCCCTAAACCCCAAACCCCCAGACCCAAAACCCTGAAATTCGCTGCCAAGGAGAGAGATCCTCACAAGGAACATCCTCGAACGGGGCCCGCTGGAGTACATCGATCCGCCAGAACCCACCCAGACTCCCCGGCTGCCACGCATCCCCAAGAAGCAGACGCAGGACAATCGGGTTTAGGGTTTCGGCTTTGGGGTTCATGGCCTGAACATGTCCGGGCGCAACCTTCCAAAGCCTGCTGCAAAAGGGTGTAGGGTTTCGGGTACCCTGCTTGGAGGTTCATGGGTGGTTCATGATAGCCGGAGAGGGCTTCTATAGTTACTTTTGCTATGGCTAGAACTGACCATACCCATAGACTGGGGGGGGGGGGGGTGAAAAATTTGAGGGTAGAAACAAGCGCCCAAAATGTGGTCCCAAACCTCCTTCAAAGGGTTCTGATGTATGGGCCCTTAATTTGTACAGGGTATGTAAGGGGTATTTCAGGGGTACCTTTTTCCGGGCCCATATTAAGGGACCATGTAACTACCCTAAGTTCTAAGCCCCGCTTCGAATTACTTGTGAACCTCCCAGTGAGACGCAGCCCAGCGCGCCCAACACCGTCCCAACACCCCTTAGTTAACTCCAGGAGTCTATGCCTTAAATATCTATAGGGATCCTAATACGAATTAAGGTTTCTACTTTTTGCTTAAGAGCCCCCTTCAAAAAAAAGAAGAGTCTTCCTTCTACGGGCAAGATGGGGATGATTGTCTTTCTCTGTTTTGGGGGTCTTAAGCGAAGAGTAGCTTCATGGATCAGTTCAGGGGTCACTGTAGGGATGTTCCCCCTATACTAAGCGTCCTTTAGAGGGATTCTCATAGGGGTACTGTAATCCTGATGAAGGACTGGGAGTGTCAGGGGTTTAGGGTTTAGGGTGTAGGGTTTGGGGTTTAGGGTTCAGGGTTTAGGGTTTAGGGTTTAGGCCCTTCTGGATCAGGAGCTGGTGTCCATCCTGAAAGCCTGGCCTTCGCCTCGCCCCTCCCCGCACTACCAGCTGAGCTTTGACTGACCTTCGCAACAGACCTTGCGCAGACCGGTTTAGGGTTTAGGGTTTAGGGTTTAGGATTTAGGGTTTGGGGTTTAGGGTTTAGGGTTTTAGGGTTTAGGGTTTAGGGTTTAGGGCTGCGGACGGATGTCTTCATGTCTCCCGCAGCTCGGTGAGTTCAGAATGTAAGTGCTCTTTCCGTGGGCCAAGGAAAGTCTGGGGCGTCATGAGCCAGGCCGGCAAGTATGGAGCCCAACTGTTAGAGACAGCTGTGGGTTTAGGGATCAAAGGCCTTAGGGAGCGCCAGAGATAACCCTAAACCCTAAACCCTGAACCCTAAACCCTAAGCAGATGGAGGAGCTCACACAGCCGCCTCCGGGTGAAGCTGCCGGCGCCCGGCTGCTGCCAATGCTGCAGGGCGTGCGCAAGAGAGGTGCAGATCATTCGGCCCAATGACCCTTAGCGAAGAAGTGTCAATCGTAGTAGGATCCTTCTTTTTTTCAAGGTATGATCACTAAAATGATGCTCCTTTAACTGCCTCGAGGGGTTTCGGGGCTCTCTGGGCTTTCTTCTTTTTCCCCGATTTCAGGCAGCCTCGTGCAGAAGGGCCATCTAATCTGTCCGCTGGTGGAGAAGTCACGATGGGCTCTTGCATGGCTTGACCCACAAGCATGTTGACAGTCGGGAGTCCCTAAACCCTAAACCCTAAACCCTAAGCCCTAAACCCTAAACCCTAAACCCTAAACCCTAAAGCCCTAAAACCCTAAACCAAGAGTGTTGGAGCCTGTGTCGACGACACCCCGAAATTTGGGTGAGCCAGGTGAGAGCGTCACCCAGGCTCCGGGCAACTTGGCATATGAGGGACCTGAGGGCTTCTTTAGGTATACAGGGACTATATAAGGTATAGGGTATAGGGTTTAGGGTTTAGGGTTTAGGGTTTAGGGTTATAGATATGGGGGCTATCTAGAGGAATAAGATTAAGGGTCCGCTACTTTAACCCTAAGCCTCAACCCCAGAACCCTAGGCTGCGTGGCAGTCTTCTGCTTTGCAGAGGAATAAGATTAAGGGTCCCTTCTAGGGGTTCCTCCCTAAACCCTAAACCCTAAACCCTAAACCCTAAACCCTAAACTAAACCCTAAACCCTAAACCCTAAACCCTAAACCCTCAATCCTAAACCCTAAACCCTAAACCCCTTGACCACATGAGCCCTCAACGGCCCTCAGCGGAGCCCATGGGTTGGAGTTCTACCTGACATGGATGGCCTGCGTTGTGATCTTGAACCCTAAGCCCTAAACCCTAAACCCTAAACCCTAAACCCTAAACCCTAAACCCTAAACCCTAAACCCTAAACCCTAAACCCTAAACCCTAAACCCTAAACCCTAAACCCTAAACCCTAAAGCCTAAAGCCTAAACCCTAAAGCCTCAACCCTAAACCCTAAACCCTAAACCCTAAACCCGAAACCCGAAACCCGAAACCCTAAACCCTAAACTCTAAACCCTAAACCCTAAACCCCAAACCCTAAACCCTAAACCCTAAACCCAATTCAGCCAATTCAGCCAATTCATGGCTATTTGCAGTCTTTTGGGTCATCGATGTGGTCAGTTCTCTAAATGATGGCGCCTTTTGGGTAGAGGGCCCGCCTTGTAATTCGTATGGACACCCAAAAGGGACCATCATTTAGAGAATCCCCCACATCGACATGGAGTTTCGGGATTATGAGGTTGGGAGAGAGGCTTATGGGTTCCTTACTACCCCCCCTCTATACTACAAGGCTATTTCGGGATAACCCTAAACCCTAAACCCTAAACCCTAAACCCTAAACCCTAAACCCTAAACCCTAAACCCTAAACCCTAAACCCTAAACCCTAAACCCTAAACCCTAAACCCTAAACCCTAAACCCTAAACAAGGTCATTTTGGGGCTAACCTCGGGGCCGGTCGTGTAGAGGGGGTAGGAGGGAGACCCATGAGAGGCAGACCACCGACCCCTGGTTCAGCTCCTTAGCCCCAGACCCCCATTCCGCCCGAAATCTCAAGCCAAACCCTAAACCTTCAACCTTAAACCCTGGACCCTAAACCCTCAAGCCCCTGTAACTTGAGAAATTGTTCAAAGCAGAAACTCCGCGAAACTGTCCTCGAACTTTTCCCCAGACCGAAACCCTGAATAATTTCAACAAACCCTAAACGACCCTAAACCCTAAACCCTACACCCTAAACCCCAAACAACCGAGGCTCTTCTGACGAGGAGTCGGAGGAGGCTGACCTCAACGAGACGGATGACGAGGTGTCCGTTGCCAAGCCCTGAAGCTTCGCCATGGCGTGCGGGTTTTCTTGGGTTCCAAAACACTGCTGAGACCCCAAACGCCCCGCACCACTCCCCTAAACCCTAAACCCTAAGCCCGAAGCCCTAAACCAAAAACCCTAAACCCTAAACCCTAAACCCTAAACCCTAAACCCTAAACCCTAAACCCTAAACCCTAAACCCTAAACCCTAAACCCTAACCCTAAACCCTAAACTTATTCCCTAAGCCCTGAAAAGCAGATCCCCGTGGTGGCCGTCACCAGCACCGTGAACAGCACGATGAGCCTCGGGAACGGCTCGATGAGCCTCGGGGTCGAAAAGGCGAGCTTGGGGTTTAGGGCTATACCCTAAACCCTAAACCCTAAACCCTAAACCCTAAACACTAAACCCTAAACCCTGAAACCCTGAACCCCGAAACCCCTAAAACCTAACACCCTAGCCCCGAAACCCTAAAGCCCTAAGCATCCCTAAGCTCCCAAGCCCTAAACCCCGCAACCTTCAGGGCTTAGGGGTTTGAAGGTTTACTTCGGGTTTAGGGTTTAGGGTTTAGGGTTTAGGGTTTAGGGTTTAGGGTTTAGGGTTTAGGGTTTGAGGTTTCGTTCGGGCCTGAACCCTAAGCCTGAAACTCTACAGGCTTCTTGTTCATCAGGGTCTAGGAACCCCATAAACCTCTCAAACACCCAAACCCTAGGATTACCCTGAACCCAAAACCCCTAAACCCCTAAACCCTAAACCCTAAACCCTGAACCCTAGTTGAGCTCAGGGTCGCAGACGTAGGTTTGCCTGAGTATTGACTACTTCGACAGGGGGGGGGGGTCGGCTGTTGGCGGTTGACTTGTTGTTTCGCTGGTACTTGCGACAGTGCCGGCCTGCCAGTTGTGAGTTTCTTTGCATTGTGCTTGCTGCCTGGATGCAAGTAGCGCAAGAAGCGAACCGGGAAACTTGCTGGCCGTGTGACGGTTTCACTTTTCTTGGGGGTCCTTATTGCAAGGGAATCCTACTATTTAGGGGGCTTCTGTTAGGGGTCCCCTGTTGTCGTAAACCCCCCAAATCCCAATCCCCCGAGCAGTCCCGGATCCCAACCGCGAGGCACGGCGCTTGACCCGTCTTCTGAATGCCACGCAGGAGGTGATGGATTCCCATCTTGGGTAATTAGAGCCGGCTCAACGCTTTAACTCCGGGATGTAGGGTTGACATGAGTCGAGTCTGGAGGGTTTCCCGCACGGCCATGGCCAAGGTGTGTCTACTCTATACGACTCTTTTGTTCGATTTGGATGTGAAGCTATGGCTGTGTCTTCAAGGGTTTGGAGCCAGCCTCCAGCTCTTCTCGACATGACGGCTCACTCTGCTAGTAGATTAGCTTGCAGATCACACATGCCACGTAGGTATGGAAGTTGGCGAACGTTTTGACACAGTCATGCGGGGAGCTCCACGTTTCACTGCCGGTAGACGACCAGCCGAGGATTGAAACTCAGATTCCGGCGGTCAAGAATCAAAGATCTTTAAAGTTTCGAGCAAGTTGCAGTGATCGCTTGGGATGCGCGCCCCCGCAGTCACTGAGTCTTTCATCATACGCACGCGCGGTCCTTTCAGAAGATTCAACTGCCTTTCGTTGTTGGAGACCCTGCTCGAGACACTTATGTGGGCCTTTTCGTCAAACGACGGCCTGAAAACCCTCAAGTTCTTTATCCTACGATATGGGCTCTACATGCATCAGCCCCAGCTTGGCTTGGGCATGCGAACTTGAACTCCATGTCAAAGAAAAGCCAAAGCGGGCTTCCACTAAAGAGGACACGATGGAAAGCTCCAAGGATATAGCCGGGGGGGATGTTTATGTTTTTGTATTATGGTGCGTTTACTTGTTTTTCAATGTTTGTTGTTCTTATTGCAAGTATAGTTGTTGCAGTTTTATTCCTAGAGCTCCTTCTTGTTGGTACCCATTTTCGGCCTCGCTGGTAACCCCGAGAATGCTGTCAGAGAGTCCGGAACGCTTGCCCCTGAACCCCACTATCGGGTTCTTAAGGGGCCCTCCCTTAAGAACCATATAACCCTAAGTTTCAAAGCTTAAAGCCCGACGCCCCCTACAGCCTGAACCCACATCTGCCAGTGTTTCAGCTCAAAGCATGTGGCCGCTTTCCCAAAGCGGACCCGGCTACCAGCTCAGCAAGTGGGGAGTCTTCAGGGCACGATCACCCCCGAATTTTAAGTTTAGAGTTTGGGGTTTAGGGTTTAGGGTTTAGGGTTTGGGGTTTAGGGTTTCCTTGTAAGGTAATATCGGGATTATCCTCGTTTTTTTCTTGGGGGGGGGGGGGGGGGGGGGGGGTGGGGGTTGTTCTGCGAAGGGGCCCCGGGGAGTGCACTCGTCTTCCAGAAGCCCGGAAGCCTTTGCTCTAAATGCCCGAAGCCCGAACCCTGTTTAGGGTTTAGGGTTTAGGGTTTAGGGTTTAGGGTTTAGGGTTTAGGGTTTGGGGTTTGGGGTTTAGGGTCAACACTGGCAGGCAGTGCAGCAGTCCTAGCCGTAAAAAAGGGTCAACAGTGTTAGTTGTTTAGTCATGACAAATGTGTTGTGGCACTTCGCTTGAGACCTCTGCTTGCCTGTGCATGCACTTGTTGTGTGTTGATCGGTTGGTCGGTCGAGCAGTCGAGCTCCAGTTTTCTCCCACATGCGCATGATCACGCATGTCTTCAACGAAGCCCGAAACCCTAAATTCCCACATGCTACCTCGTCGGTGTCAGTAGCGCGGGCTGCCAACAAAAAACCAACTAAACACCTAAAACTCTGAAACGCCTGTCCCTAAACGCTAAAACGCTAAAACGCTAAAACCCTAAACCCTAAACCCTAAACCCTAACCCTAAACCCTAAACCCTAAACCCTAAACCCTAGACCCTAGACCCTAGACCCTAGACCCTAGACCCTAGACCCTAGACCCTAAACCCTAAACCTTACCCAGGCTGGCGATGGCGGAGAAGAAGAAGTCAAAGACTGTAGCTCTGCCAGATGCCACGGAAACTGCAACTCCCAGGACAGCCCAACTGGTTCTTCGTAGCCCTGTAAAGGGTTCAGGGTTTAGGGTTTAGGGTTTAGGGTTTATGGTTTCGGGTTTGGGGTTTGGGGTTTGGGGTTTATGGTTTAGGGTTAGGGTTTGGGGTCTGGGGTTTAGGGTTTCCCAGCTGACTTCAGGAGTCTGGGCTCAAGAACAAGGGTTTAGGCTTAGGGTTCTAACCGCATGTAAATGCCCCCTTTCAGGATTTAGGCTTTAGGCTCACCATCGGTTCCTTCATTAATTGCAGGGGGCCTTCCCAAACCCGAAACCCGAAACCCGAAACCCTACACCCTACACCCTAAACCCTAAACCCTAAACCCTAAACCCTAAACCCTAAACCCTAAACCCTAAACCCTAAACCCTAAACCCTAAACCCTAAACCCTAAACCCTAAACCCTAAACCCTAAACCCTAAACCCTAAACCCTAACCCGCAACCCTTAACCAAGGGACGTAGTTCCTCAGCTCCCCCTTCTGTAATTACTGAGAACGAGAAAGACCGTGGGCGCGCCCGAGTGACTGGGACCAGCGTAGGCTGCTTTTTGGTTTAGGGTTTAGGGTTTAGGGTATAGGGTGAGCCCCTTTAAACCCAAAAGGGCACCCTTTTCATTCCTTGGTTACTCCTGGGCCTAGAGTGAATATACCTTAAGTCATAGTAGGCCCTTAAGTATTGCAGTTGCAGGTGTATTCCTTCGTTGAGTGGCGGCTCTCTGGGCAGGGAGTCTGGACCCCCCTACCGTCCCTGAGGCGTGCTTCAGATACTTTCCTGATCAAGGGCCAGTTGTGTTTTAGGGCATGTTTGCGCATTGTCTCACACTCTTGCCCAGTAGACTTGTTCGCGCAGCAGGCATGCACTTCACAAACACAACCCTTCCGAAGAAACAAGTGCCAACAGCCCAGCGTACTGGAGGTTCAGGGGACGTATAGCCCAATTATAAGTGTAGTTGCAATCCCCTTATAAGCCCCTTAAGTACCTGAATAGGTTCTACTTGGGTTGTAAGTACAGTTATAACTGGGTTGCGAAGTGCCATGAACCTCCAAGTTTATTTTGGGGGCCGAGCATCGTCACTTGACCTCGGCGCACCTTTGAGGAGGCGTTTCATGGTGCCCTAGTATGGTCCCCTAATATGCTCCCCCCTGACAGGAAGAGTCTGGCTCGGAGGAGTATCCACCCGACGTTGGCCTCGGCCGAGGATCTCAAGAATCTTGAGGGTTGATATGTCTGATGGTCCCTAAACCCAAAACCCAAAACCCTAAACCCTAAACCCTAAACCCTAAACCCTAAACCCTAAACCCTAAACCCTAAACCCTAAACCCTAAACCCTAAACCCTAAACCCTAACCTCCCTTAAAGGGCTCTGATGTCTGGGCCCCGCAATTTGGTACAGGGTAATATAAGGGGCACCCTTCTAAGGGCCCATACTAAGGGACCATGTAACTGCCCTTAGATTATGGGGGTTTCCGAAAATACGGGTACACTCAGGGGCTTTTGTTCTATTTTGGGTATAAAAGGGGTTCCCCTATTTCGGGAAATGGGAGTTTCGGAAAAAAATCGGGTTGCATGCTTTACTCGGTCGGCCCTTAGGATATTGTTTTGTTTTCGGGTTTCAGGCGGATCAAATGTAGGAGCATGTGTTCTGAGGGTTCTAAGGGCACACCTGGACCTAGTATAACAAGGGCTCTAATTTCTCGATTTTTCGGGTGCATTAGGGGGGGACCTCTATCTGGGGAAATACCCATAAGAGGTTCTGTGTCCCCCCCCCCCCCCCCCCGTAAACTCCTACACCCCAAATGCTAAAAGACAAACTCGAAACCCTAAACCCATCAACCCAAAACCCGAAACCCACCCACCCCAACCACCCGGGGCTGGGGGGTCAGCAGTTGCCCTAAACCCTAAACCCTAAACCCTAAACCCTAAACCCTAAACCCTAAACCCTAAACCCTAAGCCCTAAACCCTAAACCCTAAACCCTAAACCCTAAACCCTAAACCCCAAACCCCAAACCCCAAACCCTCGACCCTAAACCCTAAACCCTAACCCTAAACCCTAAAAACTAGCAGTCAGGCCGTGTAATCAGCCCATGAACCGCGCCAACCTATGCCGTTGAAAGATCTCCGGCTTGCTCTTTGAACTCGTGTCCCCTTTAGGGGCCCCTGTGTAGAATGGACAACCCCAAACCCTAAACCCCCCCCTCCAAAAAAGGAGACCTAAATCCTAAACCCTAAACCCCCTAAAAACCCTAAAAACCCTAAAAAACCCTAAAAACCCTAAAAACCCTAAAAGCCCAAAAAACCCCAAAAACCCAAAAACCCCAAAAACCCAAAAAACCCAAAAGCCCCAAAAACCTAAAAACCCTAAAAACCCTAAGCCCTAACCCCCCCTGTAATAGAAGCGTCGAAGGATCTGCCAGATATGGAGCCCGAAAGTCCCGGCAAAGGCCCAGGCTCTCTCCGGGGTTTAAGGTTGGGTTCAGGGTTTGAGGGTTCGGGTTTGGTGCGTCGCCTTCATCTCTCATCTCTCCCTCTCTCGCTCGCTCCCTCCCTCCCTCTGTCCTTCCTTCCTTTCTCCCTTCCTCCGTCTGCCTTCCTTCCTTCCTTCTTTCCTTCCTTCCTCCGAAGTGCCGCCTGAACGCATTCCTGCCTCACAAGTCAAGCCGCCCCCGCCCCCACCTCCCCACCCCGCCCCAACAATCTCAGCTTGGTTTGCCGAAAGTCCTAAACCCTAAGGCCACACATCTTCAAAGCCCAGACGAAGTATCTTAAAACGCCTTCTTGCCAGTTCATGATCGGGTTCTGACTAGACTTCTAGCTATATTTAACCCTAAACCCTCAACCCTCAAACTACTTAACCCTAAACCCGAAACCCGAAACCCCAAACCCTACATAAACCCCAAACCCCAAACCCCAAACCCCAAACCCCAAACCCCAAACCCCAAACCCCAAACCCCAAACCCCAAACCCCAAACCCCAAACCCTAAACCCTAAACCCTAAACCCCAAGAACTGGTTTTTGAAGGCCGGACCCCCGCCGCAAAGCGGCGGGTGACCTCCCTGTACTCGGAGGAGGAAAGGGCCCGACGAGGCGCCACGGGCCTCTGGTTCTCAACGTCAGT